GGGAATGCTACAGCCCAGACGGAGCGCCAGAGCAGGAGCGCAAGGCAAAACTTCAGTACTCACTCAACATGAGCCCCGACCTCAGGACTGTGATCCACCTGGCCACGGGACCCCCAGCTCAAGTGCCCACGGTCGACATGAGATCCTTCCAGAGCGCCTTCACCCTGGGGTTGATTAAAGCGGGGGGAACCAGACCGACGGGAGCAGGGCCCAGGACGGAGTTGGAGAGGATTGTGGGGCGCCAGCTGAGGAATTTCCAGAGAGTGTGATGCAGCACGCACGTGCACTTGCCCGTGATCATCGGAAGCTCGCGAATCTCTACTAGATGCGCGACAACGGGGTGCAGAGAGTCGGGCAGCTAGTCAGAGCAGTAGAATTCGTTAGGCGTCAGATGTCCCAACAGTTGCAATATGCGCATTTAAGTGGGCAGTATTTTTTCACTGAGGACGCACAGTACCATAGTAAGGGAGAGAGAAGGAGAGATGTTGTTGAGCGTAGCCGTCTCGATCGAGCTGTTGCAGGGGGACAGCACAGAGCAGCTGATATTACTATTGTTTGTATCGCCGAGTGCCACGGCAACCGCACCAGCATCTGCATCGGGAGTGGCCGCAGCGAAGGCTGCGCCAGCTGATGCTACGGGTGCAAACGCAGTGCCAGTACCTCGCCAGCCGACAGGCCCCCCTCCTGGTCCTCCTGGCCCGATTCGCTCAAAGGCAGCGCCGCCCCGCAGGAACCAGAACCAGAATGGCGACCTGAGTAGAGTGCACGCAGCTCAGCAGGCCCATCTTTCGACGGGCCGCATCCTGAGAGTTCACTATTCTATCATTCTGGGGCAGTGCAGCATGTTGAACAGCCAGCTCAGTTACGTCCAGCTCCAGAGAGACAATATCATGAACCCAGTCGTGAATGACGAGCACTTGGAGGCAGACCGTGTCACCACGAGGCGCAACCTAGACAGTCAGATAGGCTACCTGACTGATGAGCTGGAGCGTCTGCATGGAATCATCCGGGTGCTGGATGAATATGACTACGGAGTGCAGCGCTTCGACTGGGAGATCCCGAGACCGAGCGGGAGCAGCGAGAGGGACGAGGGGCAGTTGTGCCAGCATGTCAGCAGCGTGCCTGCATCCCCTCCCTCCGTGAGCTGCTGCTGCCGCTCGCCTCCCTCCCCCCTCGCCCCGCCCGTCCCGCGCCAACGTCCACGGGCTGCTGCTGTATGTGCACAGCCAGCAGGACAGCCCTGGACGCGGGGGGTGGGTGGGGTCGGCCACAGTCAGTGATTATCGATTCTCTTTTTTTTTGTTCCTCCCAGGCCTCTAGGGGCCAGAGGTTCAGCAGCACGGGGTGCGCGGCTCGCTCCAGGAAGGAGTAACCGCACACACACCCCCCGAGTTTTGAGGTATAAAATCTGCGACGGGAGCCGCTGCCGAAGCGGCAGCGCTTGCAGCATGAAGCTGCGGCGTTCGCCGCGGGCGGCAGGGGGGGACAGGCAAAGGTCCCATCCTTGTACGTTTCCATACTTTACCTAGGGGCAGCTAGTGCCACAAGTGGCTTGACCATTGCCCCCAACGGCTCCACCACCACCACCACCTCCTCCTCCTCCCCCTCCTCGCGCCCTCCTGCCGCGGCAAGCAAGAATGTGTTACCCCCTATCGGTGGGACCCCAGTCTTTCAATAAGGCCGCCGAAAAGATAATTAGTTACCCCCTAGTGGGGGGGGGGTCCAAGACCCTTCGCAGTTAATCTAGGGCTCCCAGACGGGGTCCATGTAGACGGGGTCGGATTGGAGCTGGCTGGGGGTCTGAGTTGGCCCAGCACTGGTTCTGGCGAGCGGGAAGAGGGGGCGGGCTTTAGGTTTTGAGTTCGAGAAGGTAGTTTGCCGTTCTCGTCCCCCGGGCACCGTTCTCAGCCCCCGGGACCGTCAAAACGGATCCAGGGTGAATCTGCACCAGATTGACCCCAGGAGGGGTCCAGGACAGATTTTGTGCAGATTTGGTTTTATCTCCTTGCTGACGGATTTTCTGGGGCACCAAACAGTTCAGACCCCCTGGTCGCCGCTAAGGATCGGAGGATCGCGCCGTATCGCCGATGCACCAGCGATTCGGCTCGATGTGAGACCCGATGTTTTCACGCAGGTAAATTGCCGATGCATCTGCGATGCGGCGTGATCTTCCGACCCCATGTGACCGGACCCCATCTGGGAGGCCTCTGGATATGCGCCAGCACTTCCATCAAGAGGCCCAGGGGACAAATATATCATCACGAATTCCATAAGTTTCCATATTGCCCATCCGTCCCAGATGTTCCTCTTCCCCTCCATCCCTCGTGCTGTACCACATGTCGGTTTTACGTTCTTTTTTATATAGCCAGGGACGCATACGGAACCATCGCGATCGCTCGAGCTCCGACCGGCGCGGCAAAATCAGCGATGTCAAAGGGCGGGGTGTTGATGCGTCGCCGCAGGTTCCTCGGACGATTCGCCGAATCTCGCAGACTGAAATATAAACCCGCGGTCCCTGCGCAAGACCTGGAAAGCGCTTCGGGAGCTTCGCAGCGGCTTGGAAAGCGTTTGCGGGATACCCTAGAAGTTCCAGCAACCTGCTGCGAGGATGCCCACCCGGCAGCTGTGAAGGCAAAGTTGGCTTCGCTCAGCTTCTTGGTTTCTTCTGGCATGGACTGCATCGCCAGCCTGTCCGTCAAGCCCTGCCCCGAGGGGAAGGCCGGAAGCGAGCGCGACAACATGCCCGAGAGCGGAGGCCGGCCATGGGAGTTTCGGATATGACGAGGGGCCCGCATGCGAGACGTGCGGTCTGAACGAGGAGATGATCCGCGGCCGCGCGCGGCGTCACCGGGGTCGCCCGGCGCAAGGCGACTCGGGAGCTTTGAGAGGGGGGTCAACGCAAACGGGGGTCAGCCAGGGCACCAGATCCTGTAGGATCCTGCGAAGACCCCCTCTGGCTGACCCGGGTTAGCGAGCCGCTCGTGGCCGCGAGGGCGGCCGCGCATACTGGCTGACCCGGGTTTGCGAGGACCTGCTTTGCAGTTCTTTTTCCTGCACTGCAGTTCTTGGTTTCCTGCTGACCCGGGCCTGGATTGACCCGGGTCAGAAGATCCCCGAGCGACTGCTGGCTCGTTGCAGACAGGGCAGGCAAAGCGTCAGCCACGGCGATTAAAGCGGTCACTCCAAGGGGAGAGAGGGGCCGACCGCAGGGCACTGGGCGATGGCTCGCCCAGCGTCGGAGGGCGTCAGCTCTGCACACCTGCACCGATCCTGGTCGGGCTGGTGCTGGGCCCAGGATCGGTGTATGTGCCTTCCTCGACTAGACGTAAGAGTGACCTTTCGCCGGGGTGACCTTTGGTGCGGGCACAGATGGGTCCCCAGATGACTGAAAACGAAGCAAGAGCAGCGGCTTGCGCGCCCAGGTTTGGTCCCCCGCGGCCCCCAAAAAGCCGCGCACCAAAGGTCACTCTTACCCAGGGTCACTCTTGCTTGTAGCCGACTTCCTCGCTAGGCCAGGAGGCGGTATGCACCGATCCTGGGCCCTGGATTAGGGGAACAAAAAGTGGCAGAAACATAAAAACTCGGAGGTCCGCGCGGATTTCTCGGATCGGCGCTGGACCCCCCTCCCTGGCGTGCGGAGCGCGCCAGGGGCGGCGCCGGAGGCGCCGCCCGGGGGGCCCAGCGCGAATCCGAGAAATCCGAGCGGACCTCCGAGTTTTTCTGTTTCTGCCACTTTTTGTTCCCCTGTGGATGGGCCTGGCCAGGATCGGCGTAGATGTATAGTTGGCGCCCTCCGACGGCGGCGGGCGCCTGCGGAGGTGAGGCGCGGAGTCGCGCGGGAGGGCAGGCCGGCCCTGCCGCGGGTGCCGTCGCAGCCGCCGGTGCCGCGAGGAGCTCCTGGGGCCCCGCGCTGCGCTCGCCCTCGGCGCCGCGCCTCGTGGGTCGAGCGTGGGGGCGCGGTGGCCTCCTCCTCCTCCTCCTCCTCCTCCTCCTCCTCCTCCTCCTCCCCCTCCTCCTCCTCCTCCTCCTCCTCCTCCTCCTCCTCCTCCTCCTGCCTGCCTGGGCGCAGGCCTAGAGGTTGACACCAACACCAAGACCGGCCGTGTGCCTCCACCGAGGGAATCGACTGCACGCAAGAGTGGCCCTTCGCCGGAGTGACCTTTGGTGCGGGCTCACCGGGGTCCCCCCGACCGCCGAAGCGCGATGCGATAGTGGCTGCCTGCGCCTTTGGATTTGGCCACCTTGCGCCCCCTCAGTCCGCGCACCAAAGGGCACTCTTACCCAGGGTCACTCTTGCGTGCCGCCGAGGGAAGAAGATCCCGATCTCGGTGATGGTGGTAGTATCCTGGCTTCCAAGGTGGCCGAAATATTGCCCACCGACACCGAACTCTAGGATCCTCTTCCCCCTTGTGGAGGCAACCCCCTGTGTTGGGGTTGGTGCCCATTTCTAGGCCTCCAAGCCTGGGCGCCTGGGTCTCGTGGCGCCGGAAGAGCCCGGGAATTCGCCGAGCGGGTGTCGACGCACCAGCGCCGGGGAGGAGGGGCGCAGGAGCAGAGAGGAGGACAGGTTCGTAGAGCTCTCTTGGGCCGTCTCCAGACCATCTTGTGGGCCTCTTGGGGCTCTTGGGCCGGTCTGGGGGGGGGCCTCTCGTGCCAACTCAATTGTTAGGAAGCCCCAAATGGGGAGAAAGCGAACATTAGTCGGAAACGTTTAGAAGATCATTGGTTGTTGCCCTCTTGAGGGTCCTTCCGTGGCCGTCTTGGGGCGCCTTGGGGTAGTCTGGGGTGAGGCCATCTCGGGTGCTCTTGAGGCCTATACTGCGTGTGGGAGCCTTCCTGAAGGGGGACAGCCAATCCTTTCACACGCCTTTCCGCCCCCAGCAAGTGGGGGTCGGCAGAATATTATTGCTGCCGCTGCTGATTATCCCCATCGTATTCGCTATGGTTCGCCCCCGTGTGCGCCGTCGTTTCGTTTTCCCCGACCCCTGGGCCAGCCCGCCAGGTGGAGGAGGTCATCGAGCTGCTGCTGGCGTCGCTCGGTGACGCAAGCAGGGCGGTACTGAGAGCAGCGCCGAGCGGCAGCCCAGAGCCGGCGGCAGGCCCAGGGGGGAGGTGAGAGGGGGCAGGCCCTCTCGGAAGGCGGCCTGGCTTCTCAGAAGCCACCTGGCCTGCTGAGAAGCCGCCCGTGCCTTCGGAGACGGTGCAGGAAGCCTCTCGGAAGGCTGGAGGCCTTCGGAGCCTTCCAAGAAGCCCCGCCCCTCTTGCTCCCTTTCTTGGGATCGCCATGAGCAGGTGCAGGACCGACGAGGAGCTGTCTGTGCGTCGTTGGGGGGCAGCATCTGGCCCTGGAGGCCTCTAGGGAGCGGGGGCCGACATGGACGGCCAGAGATCTCTGGGGAGAGGAGTGGCGTGAAGGACAGGAGGAGGAGGAGGAGGTAGGAGGTAGGAGGAGGAGGTAGGAGGTAGGAGGTAGGAGGTAGGGGGTAGGAGGTAGGAGGTAGGAGTAGAGGTAGGAGGTAGGAGGTAGGAGGTAGGAGGTAGGAGGTAGGAGGTAGGAGGAGGAGGAGGAGGAGGGAGGAGGAGGAGGAGGAGGAGGAGGAGAGGAGGAGGGAGGAGGGGAGGGAGGGGGAGAGGAGGGAGGAGGAGGGAGGAGAGGGAGGAGAAGGGAGGAGGAGAGGAGGAGGAGAGGAGGAGGAGAGGAGGAGGAGAGGAGGAGGAGAGGAGGAGGAGGAGGAGGGGGGGGGGGGGAGGGAGGAGGGAGGAGGGAGGAGGAGAGGAGGGGGGAGGGGGGGGGGGAAGGGAGGGGGAGGAGGGAGGAGGAGGAGGAGGAGGAGGAGGAGGAGGAGGAGAGGGAGGAGGAGGAGGAGGAGGAGGAGGGGTAGAAGGTAGAGACGGGAGAGGAGGGGTTACAGTCAACACGCTGAAACAAGGACCACTCTGGGCTCAGGAAGGGCTCCGATTTCTGGGCGATCCTCAGATCTGAGTCGGGGAACCCTTTTCGCGGCGGGGGCTTGCCGTGGCCATCAAAGCCCCTTTCGCTCCTGACTCGGCGAGCCTGGCAGCAGCATGATTGATGATTAGAGAGGGTGAGCAGGAGCAGGAGGCAGCAGGCACAGCCAGCCCGTATTATAAGGATCAGGAGGGAAAGAAACACACAGACACAATTAATCGTCGACTTCCAGGAAAATATGGGAAAGTATGGGAAGTGGGGGGGAGACAAAAACCCAGAAAATATGAGAAAATATGGGGAATCTTTTTATTTGTGCGTATTCATGTGTGTGTCCTGGGGCCCCTTCAAAGGATACACGAAAGGGACGCAAAGGCCTTGCAGGGCCACGACGGCATTCTGCGAGCGGGGCGCGGCCAGCGAGAGCGGCCCAGTATGGGCCGCAGGTGAAGTGTGCACGGGTGGCCGGGAAGGAGGAAGGAGATAGGAGGAGCGGGAGGGCCAGGGGAGGGTGGGGAGGAGGAGGAGATAGGAGATAGGAGGAGGAGGAGGAGGAGGAGGAGGAGGAGGAGGAGGAGGAGGAGAAGGAGGAGGAGGAGGAGGAGGAGGAGGAGGAAGGGGAGGAAGATGAGAAGGAGTCGCTCGCGATGCATACAGTGGTTCTCCACGTCTTCCCATATTTGGTGTCCTCCGGCGCATCCAGCGACCATGCCTGGGTAGTGGACAAAAAGCTTCCTGCCTCTTGGAGACCTCTATGGGGCCTATTGAGCGCCTCCTGGAGGGCCCGCTTCCTGTTTGGGGGGCTCTCTCGGGACGGAGGGCTCCAAATAGCAGCACCTTTCTTTTGGGGGGGACCTAGCGGGCCCTCTTGAGCGGAACGTTGTGGCTTTTTGAACAGTTCCGGCTCTCAAGACCAAACATCATCAGAACATGCACAAGTCATACATACGTGTTGTTTGTTCATTGTCTTGGCCCAGCTCCCACGGCATCAGATACGGCCCGAGAGGCCCCCAGAATAGATTCAGGACGGCTCGTCGGGGCCATCCTAGGACTCTTGTGGGGAGCCGCGTTGTGATAGAGAACATGACATCGGCGATATTTTGCTTACCCTGGATTTCCAGAGACGACCAAATCTCAAGCGCTGAGAGAAAAGCGCCTGGCTTCCGAGGCAGTCGAAGGGCCAGCATCTCTTCCTTCCCCGGCGGAGCTGCCAACGGATGCAAGACGATGCAGTTCCTTCGGCGGGATGTTGGCGGAAGCAGGAGCTGCTCTCTTAGAGACGCCCATGCGCTCGGACTCGGGACCACCAGAGCTTGCCGTCTGGAGGGGCGAAGGCTCTCTTGGCCGCTCGTGTGAGGCGATCCGTAAAGCCTTCCCTCGAAGAAGCAAAAGCGGCATACGCATAAATTGTCGGAGCTCTGCGCGGATTTCTTGGATCGGCGCCGGGCACCCCCGACGACGCCTGCTGCGCCGCCCCAGGCGCGCTCCGCGCGCCGGGGGGGGGGGGGTGCAGCGCAGATCCTATAAAAATCCGCGCGGACCTCCGAAAGTTTGTGCTTGCACTGTGCGTTCCTTCTCTAGTTTCCTTTCGGGCAGTCGTCAGTTGCTCCCGGGCCTCCCCCCGAAGGTGACGCGGACACGGTGGTGCGCTGGGTGGCGGCCAAGGTCGGCGGAGAGAGGGTGCCCTGAGAGCGAGATCCAGGGAAGCGAAGAACGACACAGCGGGCGTTTTCTGTTTCGTTTCGAGCCCCATCTGGGCGCTGGCCGATAGTTGAATATTCGTTTCCCGATGAGGCTTGCCTGAGCGGTTCCCACTTGGTGAAGGGTTGATGCCTGCTAAAATGCTACGTTGCCCGTTGCTCGGAGGTTCCCGGGGTTCCCCGGGTGCCCCATGCCAAGCACTGCGCCCATGCAATGAGAAGCTTTCCCCTGATCGGGGTCGCGCCGGGTCCAATTCAGTCAGACTGACATGCTCCTCCTCCTCCTCCTACCTCCTACCTCCTACCTCCTCCTCCTCCTCCTCCTCCTCCTCCTCCTCCTCCTCCTCCTCCTCCTCCTCCTCCTCCTCCTCCTCCTCCTCCTCCTCCTCCGCATCGTCCTCCTCCGCATCGTCCTCCTCCCTCTCTCCCTCCTCCTCACGCGGTTCAGCGCTCACGCTCTGGTTGACCCGGGTTTGTGCCGGGGGGGGGGAGAGGGGGGGGGGGGGGGGGGCGCACCCCGAGCATCGGCTTCTCGCCCCTCTGAACTTGGGTCGCAGCTCTGCATCGCTGCAGCGCAATCTCTTCTCACTTGGCTGGCGATGCGAACTCCATGCTGATTTGCGGGGGGGAAGAAGGGAAGAGGGGGCGCGCCCAGGGGGAAGTGACGGGGCGGGCCTTCTCCGAAGGCTCAGAAGGCCTCGGCTGGGCCTTCTGAGAAGTGTTCTCGGCCTTCCCCGAAGAGACAGGAAGCTTCTCGGAAGGCGGGCAGGCTGCTGAGAAGCCCCGCCGCCTTCTGACGAGGCCTTCTCCTTCTCACTCCCCCCATGGGGGTGCGCCGCCGAGTGGGGCTCCGATTCTCCAAGAAAGAGAACAGGAAACGGCATGGACATGAACGTTCGGAGCTCCGCCCGACCGTCGAGAGTTTCTGTTTACGCAGTTTGGTGTTCCTCCAGCTTCCCCCTTCTCCGCCCCCGCAGACCTGGGGCCCGGGAGCCACTGAGCGGCCGGCCGGGCTGCGCGACAGGGCCTCGGTCGGCCCAGGTGTGGGTGGACCGGGGTCTGCGGTCCGGATTCTTGGCCCGGCGCCCCCAAGCGTCAACACGTCCCGAGAGTTTCCAGGTCTCTCCCGCCCTGCGGAGGTGGAGCGGCACGCCTCCCGCTTTTGGCAAGGTATACAGCGCGTCGCCGGGGCCGCCGCGGCGACACGCGGAACACGAGTTCCTGACCGCAGCGCTCCCCCGAAGCGCGTGGCCCCGCGGACCCGCCGCCCCCCCACCCGTCGTCGTCGTCGTCGTCGTCGTCGTCGTCGTCGTCGTCGTCGTCGTCGTCGTCGTCGTCGTCGTCGTCGTCGTCCCCGAAGCGCGCGGCCCCGCGGACCCGCCGCCCCCCACCCAAGGGCGTGGGCCGCCTGACCAACCGGCTGCCCCGCGACTTCGGGGACCAGGCGCCCGCTGAGCGAGCTCCGAGCGGGCCGGCGGGGGGAGCTCGGGAGCGGAGAGGCTCAAGGGGCAACGTCAGGTCGAGCGAAGACACAGTCAGTTATCGTTTCACCGACCCATGCAGTCGGCCCGGATGAGTAGGTCGACCCTGCCAGCTCAAGGGTGCCCTTGAGTCCTGTGCCTCGCGACACGTGCCTCCTGACACTCCTATGGCGACGTGGCCCTCGGAAGGGTCTTGTGTCCCCTCGCGTGTCCTCTCCAGTGAGGTCCGACTGGATCCCCATTCCCTTCCCCATCCAGACCCCACCACCTCGGCACCCCAGCTGGGGATAGACCCTCCGTCGAAACCCGAAGGAAGCAGCCAACATCCCCGTCTGGGGGGGGTAGATCGGCCAGCGGAGCCCAGGCCAGGCCCGTAGGGACTGGGTTAAGTCGGGCGTGTCCCTCTACAGGAGGAATATTCAAAAATAGTTGTTTTAAAAAGTCTGGGGGACGATGCTATATCTATTTGGGGACATTCTTGAGTATGAGTTTTGTTTCTATGTTTTAAACACACAAAAAAAGTCCAAAATCCGCCTGTAGGAGGACACGCCCGACCTAAGGATAGGGGTCGGCTAAACGATGCTCATCAGGAGCAGCGTCAGGTGGAGGGAAGAAACACGGGGACCATGACCAAGATGTCGCTTGGAGCCGGCCTGGAGGTCTGAGGTGGCCCAGCACTGGTCCCAGCGAGCAGGAAGGGGGAGGGGGTCGAGGTCCTGGGTTCGGGAAGGTTTTCGGTTCTCGACCTGCAGAGGCCGTTTTCGGGCCCATGGACCCTCAGAATCGGACCCAGGGAGAAAAATTGCATCAGATGGACCCCAGAATTGTAGGGACCGATTCTGAGCGCATTTGGCTTCATCCGCCCCTCCTGACCGATTTTCGAGGGTCCCACACAGTTCAGACCCCCCGGCCGCCTCACGATGTCGCAGGATCTTGTCGGAGCCAGTCTTGGACATGGTCCCTGCCGGCCATCGTCGATCCGCAATGATGATCCACGAAATGACGCTGACCAAGATGGACGGTGACCAAGATCGACACCGACGTCCCGTTGTCCGCCTTGGTCATGGTCCTCGTTGTTCGCCCACCCGTCCGGGAGGGGGATGGGCTCAGGAGGGGAGGCGCGAAGGCATCGGACGTTTTTCCGTTGGTTTCCGCCGGCTCCCGGAGGCCGAAGTTTCGCGGCTCGACGGGGCGAGGCTTTCTGACGTCGTCGTCGGTTCGTGGAGGTTCTGCAGCCTCGGGCTGCCTTCCCTTCCAGCCGCTGCGCCTCGCCGGAGAGCGCTCCGGGCTGCCCAGATCGTCCCGAGCTAGGACCCGAAAATGGGACGACGAGGACCACTGGGGGGATAGGCTCAGGGGGCGATGACGAGGACCACTGGGGGGATAGGCTCAGGGGGGCATGCATCGATTCCGAATCGCTCACCCGTCGCCGCCAGGGGCCCGATGGCCCACCCCGCGCAGGAGCGCGCGGATTCGCCCTCGGAGGCCCGTCGCCGATCCATCGGCGATGCACAGTCCACGCGCCCGGCAAGGACGCGCGCACCTTCCTCTCAGGGCACCCTTTTGTGCCCCTGCCTCCGCCGCCCGCCCTCTGCCGCTCTCTCACCCGTCGCCCGTCGCCCAGGGTCCTTCCCGCCTCCTCCTCCTCCTCCTCCTCCTCCTCTCCTCCTCCTCCTCCTCCTCCTCCTCCTCCTCCTCCCTCCTCCTCCTCCTCCTCCTCCTCTTCCCCCCCTCCCCCCTCCTCCTCCTCCTCCCTCCTCCTCCTCCTCCCTCCTCCCTTCGGCCTCCCAGGGTATTTGCGTCCTGCCCGCCCGTCTTGGCTGCACCCGCCGATGCCAGCTCGGCGTGCCGCCCCGGAGCCGGCCCCCTTCCCCGGCGGTCCCCCGCAGGGTGGGAGGGCCAGTGCCCGCCCCCCCCCCACAGGTTTCTGTCGGGAGGAAGAGAAGCACACAGACACAATGAAGCCTCGATTCCCCCAGAAAAGATGGGAAACTATGGGAAGTGGGGGGGGGGAGACAAAAACACAGGAAATATGGGGAAAGATGGGGGATCGTTTTATTTGTGTGTATTTATTTGTGTGTGTGTGTCCTTGGGCCCCTTCATTCTGCAGGTGCTCCTCCCGTCCACCACGGCCAGAGCGCGCGGCGCTCGCCGAACGGAGAGCGCGCCACGGGCGCGCCTCGCGGGCGGGAGCCTCGCCCTGAAACGGAGGCCGCCCTGCATCAGTTTGGGAATCTCCCCCAGCGATCCCCCGCAGGGTGGGAGGGCCGATGCCCGCCCCCCCCCCACAGGTTTCTGCCAGGAGGAAGAGAAGCACACAGACACAATTGATCCTCGATCCCCCCGAAAATATGGGAAAAAATATGGGAAGGGGGGGGAGACAAAAACCCCGAAAATATGGGGAAAGATGGGGGATCGTTTGATGTGTGTGTGTGTGTGTATTCATTTGTGTGTCCTTGGGCCCCTCCACTCTGCAGGTGCTGATCCTGTCCACCACGGCAAGAGCGTGCGGCGCTCGCCGAGCGGAGAGCGCGCCAGGGGCGCGCCTCGCGGGCGGGAGCCTCGCCCTGAAACGGAGGCCGCCCCCGCATCGGTTTGGGAACCCCTCGCTTCCTGGCGCGAGATCCGGGCCCGAGGGCCCGTGGAGTCTCCGGGCTCCCGAGACGAGGCCGCGGCAGGCCGGAACGCTGGACCTCTGCGGCTGGAGAGAACGCGAGCGGGAACCTCTCGGAGACCTTTCCAGCTGGAGAGAACGCCGCCCTGCATCGGTTTGGGAACCTCTCGCTTCGTGGCGCGAGATCCGGGCCCGAGGGGCCCGTGGAGTCTCTGGGCTCCCGAGACGAGGCCGCGACACCGGGAAGCTGGACCTCTCCAGCTGGAGAGAGCGCCGAGTGTCTGGACGCCCGACATGGGCACTGAAAGAATGGGTACAATGCCCAACAGCAGTTCCTGTTCATTCTGAGCAGGGCTCGCTGTCCGCGCCGCCGCGGCCTGTGTCCATTCGAGACAGAAGGCCGCCTGTCCAACAGCGGCCGCTGTTGGTTTGGGACATTTGTTGTTGGGCATTGTACCCATTCTTTCGGTACCCATTTCGGGTGTCCAAAGAGTGGAGGCTGCCTCGACCCACGGTCGCAGGTTTCCCTTTGGGTGCGCCGAGTATCCTGGCAGGGCCACCCCCGCCCAGACGACGGCGAGCACCCCGAGGCATCCCCCGGAGCTTCGCCCGAGCCTCCCCATGGGGCTTTCTCGGGAGGCTCCCAGGGTGTCCAAGGTTGCCCCAGCGCCCTGCGATGCATCCCAGGAGGCTTCCCGAACGGTTCCTTCCGAGCTCGCCTTACCGTCACGTCTGGGGGTGCGACAGGGAGGAGTCACTTACAAGGAAAATGGGTTAAGTGGTGGAGGGGGAGGGAGAGGGAGGAGGAGGGGGAGGAGGAGGAGGAGGAGGAGGAGGAGGAGGAGGAGGAGGAGGAGGAGGAGGAGGAGGAGGAGGGAGGCGGAGGGGGAGGTGGAGGGAGAGCAGGAGGAGGAGCGTCAACCGAGAGGGACTCAGATTGATTGGAAGTCGTGGCTGGTCTTCCAGCCTGTGTTGCGGAGATCCCAGGAGCAGGAGGAGAGTGGGGAGGGAGAAGGAGGAGGAGGAGGAGGCGGAGGCGGAGGAGGAGGAGGAGGAGGAGGAGGAGAGGGGCGATGATAAGAGGAATTGTAGAGGCGAGGGGGGGAAGTGAGGAGGAACGAGGGAGAGGGAGCGAGAAGAGAGGGGGAGCGAGGGGCGAGAAGGTAGCTGGGAGGGACGGTGAAGGAAGAGGGAGGAGGGAAGCGGGGAAGGAGGATGGTATTTCTTATGCGAAGGGTTTTGCGCTGAGCGTGCTCCGTTTGCAACTTGACTGGTCCAGTCGGGAACTTTTGGCTAGCGTGTCGCTCTGCAGGTTCTGGCCCACCGCGCTTCGGCGCGACACGCTATCCATTTCCCAGCCCCCCAGCGCCAACGTCCCCAGCCTGTTCGAGCGTTCCGCCCCGCGGAGCGGAGCGACACGCTATCCGCTTGCAAGACATACTGCTTTGCTGGGGCCGCCGCGGCGACACGCTATCCAACAGTGTCCGACCGTAGATGGTGCGCCACAGTGACCGGCTCAGCAGGCAGAAGCGCTGGAGGCGAACGGGGCGCGCACACGTGTGGAGCCAGAGCGACCACGAAGCAGTGCGACATCGTGGGTGGGCGGACCTCTTTCTGGCGATCGCGGTGCTGGCGGCATTGACCTGAGCCCAGAAAGTCTGCGCATCGCTCTTGTCGTGGCGACTTGGGCCCAGGACTCGGTCGGGACATCCGAGGGACACGCCGGAGCCGGCTTGGGTAACAAGGGGAAGAAGGAGAGGGCGCTGGGGGAGGAGGGAGCCGCGGGCGGCGGAGCACGCTCAGACCTTGAAGAGCTTGTACGTGTGTGCCGGGGCACGGGCTTACACAGGCAGCGAATTGGGAGAGGCGGAGCAGCGTTCGCAGGATCGGGTATAGCCAGGACCCCAGGTAAGGGGACCCGGTTAGTGGTAGGGCCCCAGAGCCTTTCAATTTCACCAGAATCGCTAACCCAGGTCTGCCGTAGCTGGTGTTTTTGCGGGTGACGGCAGCTCCGGTTAGTGGAACGGGGGCGGGGGGGGCGTCCCCCAGTACACATCACTAAACCAGGTCCCACTAAACCCAGTTCTGCCAACGCCCGACAGGGGTGCGGCAGGTGCATGCATGAGATCGGAAATTTGCACAACACGTCAGGATTGCAGCTCAATGACGTTACGCCTCCGACCTCCAAGGCAGTGCTTCATGGGTGAGTGGGGTGGGTAGCGAATCGATGTGTTGGCCAGTGGTCCCTTGGACAGCTCAAAGAAGCTGGTTTCGTTGGCCATGCACCCCTGAAGCCTCTCATCGCCACTGGTAGTTCAGCCACCAAGGAGAAGCTGCAGACACAGTGGAGGCAATGGAAGCTCGAAGGCCCGACTAGGCTGGCGTCGGCCACCGAGAAGCGCGACAGACGTTCAGCCGACGTGCGCGGATGCCCCCCAGGGGTACGTCCTGAAGCCGGGGTCTGAGCCCCGAGAGGCAGCGCTCGGACGGCAACGGGGGGGCAACAAGCAAAGGGGCTGCGGGGGTCGAGCATTGCAGGAACGGGGCCCCGACGTGCCCTCTAAACCGCCGCCGCGGGCCCCAGACGGTGCACGAAAGGTGCACGCTGCTTCACACCACCTTCGCTGCCCCCTCCCTCCACTCCCCCCTCTCCCGGCCGCTGACGAACACCCGAGGGCGGGCGAGCAGGCCAGAGCCCTGGAAAGCCGAGGAGGCTTGAGCACGCGACCGGGCCGGCGCCAACCGCTCAGGGCAGGGCGAGCGGAAGGCAGCGGGGCCAAGTGGGCCCCTGAGATTCGCCCCGAGAGCCTCCTCCTCCTCCTCCTCCTCCTCCTCCTCCTCCTCCTCCTCCTCCTCCTCCTCCTCCTCCTCCTCCTCCTCCTCCTCCTCCTCCTCCTCCTCCTCCCTGCGGAGCGGGCGGACGAGCAAGCGGCCCTGGGCGCCTGCCCGCACTCAGCCGTGCTTCGCGAGGCCGGGGTCCGAATGTGTCCGGGGAGGAGCGACGAAGAGGTCTGGGTCTCGCCGTCCCTCTTCAGCCGCACGGAGCCCGAGGTTCGCTCTCTTGTGGTCGGCGGCCGCTGCCGCCGTCTCCGACGCTACGGGCGAGTGCCCTCGGCAGCCTGCGCAAGAAGGAAAGGTCTGGAGGTAGGAGAGGGGCGTGGCATGAAGGGGTGTGGTGCCCATGCTGAGCCTGGCGATGCCATCCATCGTAGATCGCCTCTCGATGTCCACGACGGACGCCACACCCCTTTTACGCCACGCCCCTCTGCCGACCTCCACACGAGGGAGGAGCGAGGGCGGAGGAGGCAGTCGCAGAGGCCGAGTCGGCGTCGGAGGGGCGGGCAGCTCTGGAGGGACTGTCAAACGACGCGAAGATCGGGACAAAATCGGATCGGGATAACTCGAAATCTCTGAGAATCGGCGGGTTTGGAGGATGTATTGGGCGCCGCGGCCGCTCCAGAGCGTTCCGGAACGCTCTGAGAGCGCTCTGGAACGCTCTGGAGCGATTTATCCCGATCCTAGCCCTGTTTTAGACTGCTGTGGCCGTCGGCAGGTGTTGGAGTTTCTGCTCGAGCGCTGCTTCAGCTTCCGCGAGACCGACAAGGCCCGCGTTTCGCCCCTCCCCGCCCGCGCTGCAGCCATGCCGGACGTGCTACTGCTCAAGTGGGTCACCACTACCATTTCTCCCTCGCCTTCCCCTGCTCATCCCCCTCCAGATGCACTCCTGGCCGCGACTGCGCAACCTGCCACTGGCATGATTATTACGAGTGCTCTCACTACGACTGGGACTTCTGCGACCAAGACAGCGTACTACCCCGACGCCCACCACCACGCCTGCTTCTGCCACTGCTACGACAGGCCCTACTACCACCATCGTTACTGCTGCTGCTCGTCAATACGGGGTCCCGTGGCCTCTCGACCCCTTCCCCTGGACCTGCGCCTCACTCCAACTCGTTTGCGACGGTCCTGGGGCACGGGCGTCCCGAGGCCGAAGGTGTTGAAAAGTGGGTTGCCTCGATCTCTCCGCGATCAAAGGAACTCGGGGGAGGGAGAGGGCGGCGGAGATCGTGGGCGAAACACGCATCCGCATCCGTGGCCTCGCGGGCCAGGCCCTTGGGCCGCGACCCCGCGAATAGGGGGCCGTTTTTTTTTTGGTCCGCGGGTACCTCGCCCAGAACAGCCGCGGACCGCAGGGCTGGAAACTTTCCAGCCGCCCGGGGTGGCAGGCGTCCCCGACGGCGGAACGGTTTATCTTAGACCGCTCCTCGCCTGCTCACGCTGGCTCGCGCCCCGGAATCCAGGCCGCGAAGGCGCGGATACGACTGCGGTCGCCGCTCGGTCGGAGAGGGGGCCAGCCCTGGAGGCTCCCGTCCACGGGCGGGAGTGGCCAGGCCGACCCCGCGGGGGGCAGCCCCCATGGCGCCAGAGGGTGTGTGTGTGTATGTGTTTGCGCGTGCGTGTGTGTGTGTGCGTGCGCGTGTGCGTGCGCGTGTGTGTGTGTGTGTGTGTGTGCGTGTGTGCGTGTGTGCATGTGTCCGTGTGTCCGTGTGCGCGTGCGTGTATGTGTATGTGCGTGCGTGTGTGCGTGTGTGTGTGTGTGCGTGTGTGTGCGTGTGTGTGCGTGTGTGTGTGTATGTGTGTGTGCGGGTGTGCGCGCATGTGTGTGTGTGCGGGTGTGCGAGTATGTATGTGTGTGTGTGTCTGTGTGTGTGCCTGTGTCTGTGTGTCTGTGTCTGTGTCTGTGTCTGTGTATGTTTGTATGTTTGTATGTTTGTATGTGTGTATGTGTGTGTCGTTTGTGTGTCTGTGTGTCTGTGTGTGCGGGTGTGCGCGTATGTGTGTGTGCGTGTGTGTGTGTCGTTCGTGTGTCTGTGTGTCGTTTGTGTGTGTGCGTATGTGTGTGTGTGTCTGTGTGTCGTTTGTGTGCGTGCGTGCGTGCGTGCGTGCGTGGGTACGTGCGTGCGTGCGTGTGTGCATATGTGTTTGTGTGCGTGTGTCTGTGTTTGTGTGCATGCGTGTGTGTATGTGTGTGCGCGTCGTGTGTGTGTGTGCGCGTGTGCGTGCGCGTGTGTGTGTGTGTGTGTGCGTGTGTGCGAATGTGCGTGTGTCCGTGTGTCCGTGTGTCCGTGTGCGCGTGCGTGTATGTGTGTGTGTGCGTGCGTGTGTGCGTGCGTATGTGCGTGTGTGTGTGTGTGCGTGTGTGTGTGCGTGTGTGTGTATGTGCGTGTGTGCGGGTGTGTGTGTGTGTGGGTGTGTGCGCGTGTGCGCGTGTGGGTTCGTGTGTGAGTGCGTGTGTGTGCGTGTGTGAGTTGTCGCGCGTGCGTGCGTGTGTGCGTGCGTGCGTGTGTGTGTGTGTGTGATTGTGTATGTGAGTGCGTGTGTGCGTGTGCGTGTATGAGTGTGTGTGTGCGTGTGTGTGTGTGTTTGTGTGTGTGTTTGTGTTTGTGTGTGGGTGTTTTTGTGGTTGTATGTGTTTGTGTGTTTGTGTGTGCTTGTTTGTGTTTGTGTATGGTTGTGTGTGGTTGTGTGTGTGTGTTTGTGTGTATGTGTGTTTGTGTGTGTGTGTGTTTATGTGTGTGGTTGTGCCTGTGCTTGTGTGTGTATTTGTGTGTGTTTGTGTGTGGTCGTGCTTTGTGTGTGGTTGTGTGTGGTTGTGTGTGGTTGTGTGTGTGCTTGTGTGTGGTGTGGGTGTTTTTGTGTGTGTAAGTTTGTGTCTGTGCTCGTTTGTTTCTGTATGCTTGTGCGCGTTTGTGTGTGGTTGTGTGTGGGCGTGTGTGTTTGTTTGTGGTTGCGTGTGTATGTATGTATGTGTTTGAGTGTTTGTGTGTGGCTGTGTGTGTTTGTGTGTGAGTGTTTGTTTGTGTGTCTTTATGTGTGTTTGTGTGTGTGTTTGTGTGTGGTCGTGCTTTGTGTGTGGTTGTGTGTGGTTGTGTGTGTGCGTGTGTGTGCGTGTGTGTGGTGTGGGTGTCTTTGTGTGTGTGTGTTTGTGTGTGCTTGTGTGTTTCGGTATGCTTGTGCGCGTGTGTGTATGGTTGTGTGTGTGCTTGTGTGTTTGTTTGTGGTTGCGTGTGTATGTTTGTATGTGTTTGAGTGTTTGTGTGTGGCTGTGTGTGCGTGTGTGTGATTGTTTGTGTGTGTGTGTCTGTCTGTGTGTTTGTGTGTGTTTGTGTGTTTGTTTGTGTTTGTATGTGTTTGCGTGTTTGTGTGGTTGTATGTGTTTGTCTGTGATTGTGAGTGGTTGTGTGTGATTGTGTGTGGTTGTGTGTGTGTTGGTTGTGTTTGTGTTTGTTGTGTACGTATGTGTTTGTGTGTGTTGATGTGAGTGTGGTTGTGTGCGTGCGTATGTGCGTGTGTGTGTGTGTGTGCGTGTGTGTATGTGCGTGTGTGCGGGTGGGTGTGTGCGTGTGTGTGTGTGTGTGGGTGTGTGCGCGTGTGCGCGTGTGGGTTCGTGTGTGCGTGCGTGTGTGTGTGTGTGAGTTGTCGCGCATGCGTCCATGTGTGCGAGCGTGCGTGTGTGTGTGTATGTGAGTGCGTGTGTGCGTGTGTATGTGAGTGTGTGTGTGAGTGTGTGTGTGTTTGTGTGTGCGTTTGTGTGTGTGGTTGTGTGTGGGTGTTGTTGTGTTTGTGTGTGCTTGTGTGCTTGTGTGTTCTTGTTTGTGTTTGTGTACTGTTGTGTGTGGTTGTGTGTGCGTTGGTGTGTATGTGTGTGCTTGTGTGTGTTTCTGTATGTGGTTGTGTATGCTTGCTTGTGTGTATGTGTGTGTTTGTGTGTGTTCGTGCGTTGTGTGTGTGGTTGTGTGTGGTTGTGTGTGGTTGTGTGTGTGCTTGTGTGTGGTGTGGGTGTTTTTGTGTGTGTAAGTTTGTGTCTGTGCTCGTTTGTTTCTGTATGCTTGTGCGCGTTTGTGTGTGGTTGTGTGTGTGCTTGTGTGTTTGTTTGTGGTTGCGTGTGTATGTATGTATGTGTTTGAGTGTTTGTGTGTGGCTGTGTGTGTTTGTGTGTGAGTGTTTGTTTGTGTGTCTTTATGTGTGTTTGTGTGTGTTTGTGTGTGGTTGTGTGTCTTTGTGTGTGTTTGTGTGTGTGTGTGTTTGTTTGTGTTTGTATGTGTTTGCGTGTTTGTGTGGTTGTGTGTTTGTGTGTGATTGTGAGTGGTTGTGTGTGGTTGTGTGTGGTTGTGTGTGTGTTTGGTTGTGGTTTTGTTTGTATGTATGTGTTTGTGTGTGTTTATGTGTGTGTTTGTGTGGTTGTGTGTGTTTGTGTGTGTGCTTGTGTGTGTGTTTCTGTGGGATTATGTGGGTTTCTGTGTGTTCGAGAGTGTGTTTGTGTGTGTTCGTGTGTTTGTTTTTTCGTGTGATTGTGTGGTTGTGTCCTTGTGCGCTTGTGTGCTTGTGTTTGTGTGTGTTTGTGTCTTTGTCTGCATGTGTGCTTGTGTGCTTGTGTGCTTGTGTGCGTGTCCTTGTGCGCGTTTTTGCTTGTGTGCTTGTGTGTTTGTGTGCTTGTGTGCCTGTTTGCTTGTGTGCTTGCGTATGTGTGTGCTTGTGTGCTTGTGTGCTTGCACTTGCGATTGTGATTGTGATGTCGCTTGTGTTTATTATTGTGTTTGTGTTTGTGTTTGTTTTGGTGTGTATGTGTGTTTATGTGTGAGTGTTTGTTTGTATGTGTGTTTGTGTGCGTGTGTCTGTGTGTGTCTGTATGTCTGTGTGTGTTCGTTCGTTACCCGCACATAGCGGAGGCACCGTATCCTCGCACCGTCTCATGCCAGGCCGCACGCCACGGCAAGCAATGCCGGCTGCAGTGGATGAGGGGGAGGCACGTGGGTGGGGCATGGTCCACTGTGCAGCCACTCAACGCCAAATTACACACCCCGCACGCTGCTCGTGTCGCACCCATCCACCTGGACTGGCCCCTTCCTGGCACTGGGCACACCGACGCTCGCACGACTTGCGAGCAACACACGTCACCTTGGTGGTTGCCGCTGTCGGTTTTGGTGGGTGGACCAGCCCGTTCCGGGTGGCGTGATGGGGCGGCACCTGCACCGCGCGACTCCGCACGAGGCTCACGGTAGCACGTGGGAACGCGGCTGGGTGAGAGAGAGCGCGTTTGAGCCACACGTGTGTGCGTGTGTCACACGGGAGGAAGGGGAGAGGGGCCACGAAGAGGTTCAGCCCACCGGCCACGGCCATGCCATCACACCTGAAAAGGAGGAAGGGGGAGGGAGGAGAGGAAAAGCAGAGGGGGGAGGAAAGGGGGGAGAAAGAGCCAGCGTGTGCAGCTCGGGTCGCACCAGGTCGAACCGTAGGCCATGGATGTTGGCCAGGCGCGGAAACCCCACATCTGAAGCAGCACGCGACGTCGGACCCGGCGTCGGGGGTGCCTGTACCGGACGCTACCGTAGGAGACGTGGTGGAGTTTGCAACCAGTTCCACGGCGAAGAATGCCATTGCAGCCACCCCCTTCGTCTACGACACAGCGTGTTCAGTGCACTGCGCCACCGAACCCTGCACCAGATCGACCGAGAGCGAGTCGACCGACGGCGACGACCGGCTGGAAGGGCGGCATCGGAGCGACTGGGGGGCATGGCCAGTTACAGCCGACGGCTGCGAACACCTGCCATTCAGCGCTGCACGTCCACAGCGCAGCACAACGCAGCGTAGCCGCGTGTGTCCGTGTGCGTGGCACTCTAGTTCAGCGCTTTACGCAGCGGCAGCGGCGCCGCACCAGCAACCACGGCAATCACACAACCACGACCACATCACAGCGCAGCACAACGCAGCACGGCCGCGTGTGTGCGTGTGCGCGGCAGCACATCACAGCACAACACAACACATCACGACACACCACAACACGACACGGCACAACACCGCACAACACAGTACATCACAGCACATCACAACACATCACAGCACACGCCGCTTGGCGTGTGTGTGTGTGTGTTTGTATGTTTGTGCGTGTGTGAGTGAGTGCGTGTGTGTGCAATCGCTTGTGTGTGTTGGTGTGTGCTTGTGTGTGCTTGTGTGTGCTTGTGTGTATGCGTTTGTGTGTGTGTGTCTGTGTGTGTGTCTGTGTGTCTGTGTGTGCTTGTGTGCGTGTGTGTGCGTGTTTGTGCGTGTGTGCGTGTGTGTGTATGTGCGTGCGTGCGTGCGTGCGCGTGTGTGTGTGGTGTGTGTAACTGTCTGCGTGTGTGTCTGTGTCTGTCTGTCTGTCTGTGTGTGTCTGTCTGTGTGTGTGTCTGTCTGTGTTTGTGTCTGTCTGTGTGTGTGTGTCTGTGCGTATGTGTGTGCGTCTGTGTGTCTGTGTGTGCATATGTCCGTGTCTGTGTCTGTCTGTGTGTGTGTCTGTCTGTGTGTGTCTGTGTGCCTGTGTGTCTGTGTGTATGTGTGTCTGCCTGTCTGTTTGTGTGTTTTTGTGTTTGTGTCTGTGTGTCTGTGTGTCTGTGTGTCTGTGCGTGTGTGCGTGTGTACGTGTGTGCCCCCGCCGCCTGCGGGCGCCTGGGACGTTTCGCCCGCCGCCTCCCGCTCCACCTCTCCCGGCCCCCTGGCCACCTGACCTTGGGCGGTCACGCCGCAGTACCCCTGTCACTGCCAGACATCTGGCCGCTGCTCCTGCCTCCGCACGGCTCAGTGCTGTGCCTACCTCCTCGGCGCGCCGCGGTACGCCGTTCGTGGTGTCCCACTGCGCCCGCCCGCCAGCTCCAGCCGCTGGCTGCCGCCCTCCCGCCTCCCTTGCCACCGTGGTTCGCCACGGCCGCCCACCTCGCTCTGGCCCTGCGCGCCTGGTTGCTGCTGCCCCCCACCCCCCCCCTCCTTCTCATCGTCGAACTATTCGACGTCTGAGCGTCCCTTCTTCCTCTCGGCCGTCCCCCCCCCTTTTTGCTCGCCAGACAATTCGCTAGTTTGTGCCCTTATCTAGCTGCTGGCTGGAGCGGAGTTCGCCGCCTCGCCGCTGACGAAAAACTGTGTGCGTGTGTGTGTGTGTGGTGCGTGTGTGTGTTCGTGTGTGCGTGTGTGCGTGTGTGTGTGTGATCGTGTGTGCGTGCGCGCGTGCTTGTGTGCGTGTGTGTGCGTGTGTACGTGTGTGCGTATGTGTTTGTGTGCGTGTGTGCATGTGTGTGTGTGTTTGTGTGTCTGTGTGTTTGCGTGTTTATGTGCTTGTGTGTTTGTGCGTTTGTGTGTTTGCGTGTTTGTGTATTTGCGTGTTTGTGTGTTTCTTTTTTTCTGTGTTTGTGTGTTTGTGAGTGTGTGAGTTTGTGTGTGCGTGTGCGTGTGGGTGGGGGTGGAGGGGGCGGGGGGGGAGGGAGGGGGGTGCGTGTGCGTGTGCGTGTGCATGTAGGTATGCGTTTGCGTGCGCGTGCGTGTGCGTGTGCGCGTGCTTGTGCGTGTGCGTGTGCATGCGAGTGTGCGCGTGCGTGTGCGTGTGCGTGCGCGTGCGCGTGCGCGTGCGTGTGCGTTTTCGTGTGCGTGTGAGTGTGCATGTGCATGTGCGTGTGCGCGTTCGTGTGCGTGTGCGTGTGCGTGTGTGCGTGTGCGTGTGCGTGCGTTTGCGCGTGCGCGTGCGTGTCCGCTTGCGAATGCGCGTGCGTGCGCGTACTCGTGCGCATACGCGTAAGAGTGCGCGCGCGTGGGCGTGCGCGTGCGCGTGCGCGTGCGCGTGCGCGTGCGTCTGTGCGTGCGTGCGTTTGTGTGTGTGGTTGTGTGTGTGTTTGTGTGTTTGTGTGTTTGTGTGTTGTTGTGTGTGTGTCTGTGTGTGTCTGTGTGTTGCTGTTCCTGTGTGTGTTGATGTGTGTGTGTGTTGTTGTTTTTGTTGGTGGTGCTGTGTGTATGTGTGTGTGTGTGCGTGCGTGCGTGCGTGCGTGCGTGCGTGCGTGAGTGTGTGTGTGTGTGTGCGTGTGTATGTGTGGTTGTGTGCGTGTGTGTGTAACTGTGTGTCTGTCTGTGTGTCTGTCTGTGTGTCTGTCTGTGTGCGTGTGCGTCTGTGTTGTGCAAAGGTGCCTGGCCGTATCGCCGGAGGTCTTGGGATTCGGCATTTGTGGGGCCATAATTCGGCTCTCCGGCGGCCGTTCGGGACGAGCCAGGCACCCCAGGAACGCCTTCGGAGAGGCGCATCCGCTGAAAGGCATCCCAAGGGTGAAACAAAAATGAGAAGCAGCGAAAACGTGCAAAAAGCTCGGACCTGGGAACCTCGAACCTCGTCGGAGATGAGGATTAGAAAGTCCAGGGTTCGCTGGGCACTGGTGCCCCCACAAAACGACCGAAAGCCCCCCCCGAAACTCTCAGAGAGACCCTCCCCGCATGGTCTTGGAAGGCTCTTCGGAGGATTTCAGAAGGGCTCTGGTCGTTTTGGAGGGAAACCAGCCCCTATCGGAGGCGGCCCAGAGGGTGGTGATGATTTGTAAGGGGGTGGGGATCTCATGGCGTGGGCCATGATGTCTCCGCAGATAGCACGGCGCCTCTTCTCATTCCTCTACGCCCCTGGCCCCCCCCCCTAGGCCGCGCACGTGCCGCTGGCCATGCGCTGCGCCCCCCCTCTTGGGCGCCCCCCTCGTGGCCGCCCCCGGCCCTGGTGAGCCCTGGCCTTTCTAAGCTCTGGGCACCCGGCGCGCCATCTGGCAAATGGTGCCAGTCGGTTACCGCTCCTGAGTGGAAGCGGCGACAGGAGGAGGAGGAGGAGGAGGAGGAAGAGGAGGAGGAGGGAGGAGGGAGGAGGGAGGAGGGAGGAGGGAGGAGGGAGGAGGAGCAGGAGGAGGAGGAGGAGGGGGGGGCCGGGGAGCGGCCCCGGCAGCCCCAAATGCCGGCGAGGCCTGGCACGGCGGCTGCCTGGCCCTCGCGGAGCTCACGCGGCGCGGCCTGCTGCTGCCGGAGCGGCTGCAGGAGGGGCCCCCTCCGCGCCTCCCGGGGGCAGGACTTACGTCGGGCCTGTCCCTCGGGAGCCTCGAGACGGGGGTCAATGCAAACGGGGGTCAGCCAGGGCACCAGATCCTGCAGGATCCTGCGAAGACCCCCTCTGGCTGACCCGGGTCAGCGAGCCGCTCGTGGCCGCGAGGCGGCCGCGCACATTGGTTGACCAGGGGCTTGCGAAGACCTGCGTTGCAGTTTTTTGTTTCCTGCATTGCAGTTGTTTGGTTTCCTGCTGACCCGGGTCTGGATTGACCCGGGTCAGAAGATCTCCGAGTCCCTCTACCGGAGGAGTATTCCAAAATAGTTCTGCGCCTGTCCTGGGCTGAGAGAAGAGCACAAAATACATCATCGGGTCGCCTGTCCAAGTTGTTCTCCTAAGCAGCGGCGAAAGATAGGTCGACGGGCTGGCAGCAAGTTGAATGCATGTACGTTGACGCACCGACTCCGTGACATTTACCTTGGGCCCCTTGGAGGGCGATTTCTGTTCGGAGTTGCCCCTCGCCGAGAGCCTTCCGGAGGGCGTCCCGGATACGAAACTCTGGGAGTTCGTATCTTCCGAGTCCAGGGCAGACGGCCTCAGGGAGGCGCGCCAGCCTCCGCAGGATTGGCCCCACGACGCGTTCTGGGCCAGCTTCTAAAAAAAGTCGGGGGACGATTTCACTTTTATTTTTGAGCATGGTTCTATCACCTTCTTATTAAAAATTCCGCCTGTAGGAGGACGTGCCCGACCTAAGCCAGGACGCCGCTAACCTCGGCGGCGGGTGATGGTGCGGGCAAGATGTGTATCCATATCCACTGCGTCTTGGAGTCTCGGGCTCCTTTGCCCAGATGCCCGAGGCGCAGCGTGTATATATACACACATATATATATATACATATCTAAGTATAGTAATATACATACATACATACATACATACATACATACATACATACAGACAGAGACAGACAGAGACAGACAGAGACAGACAGAGACAGACAGAGACAGACAGAGACAGACAGACAGACAGACAGACAGACAGACAGACAGACAGACAGACAGACAGATATATATATATATGTACATATATATGTATATGCATATATGTGTGTATGTGTATGCGAAGATCTGGCCCCTATAGGGGCTAGATTTGTATCCAGATCCACTGCGCCTCGGTCTTGTAGCGCTCCTTCCCAGGAAGTCCAACGCGCTGTGGATATGGATACAAGTAATGCCCGCAGAGGGGGGAAGCGAGAAGTTGTCTGTGTCTTGGGGGAGGGCTCGGAAAACTTCTCAGAATGCCGGGTTGCTTCCGAGCCTTCTGAGAAGGCCCGCTCTTTCTCACTGCCCCCCGGGGCCCGCCGCCGATAACCAGGACATTGAACATTCCACCTGAAGAACACGAGGATTGGGTAACGTTGGGACCCACAGCTGCAGTTCTCTTGGGTGCGCGAGTGTCCTGGTTTACCTATGTCCCCGCTTACGGTTCCTTGAGCCTTCCGCGGCCTCATCCGGCCTTGCACCCCGTTGTCAACGTTCGAGGTTCGATGGCAGCTCCATTCGATGCTCGATGTGGGCTCTGGGTTCAATATTCGTGATTCGATGCTCGATGTTGTGGCGAGGGTTCGGTGTTCTGTGGCAGCTCTGGGCAAACTTGCGGCCCGCCTTACGGCCCAAAAGGAGGGGGCCTGCTGGTCAGAGGAGGATAGCGTACTGATACTGCTACCCTTGCCTCGTTTTCGCTTGGAGGGCAAAATATATCTTCGTCTAGAAGACCAGCATCTGGGCCTAGCCAAATGCCGTTCTCATTCTCTAGCCACACGCGTCTATAAACACATTAGATGTCGTACGTCTATAGGCACATTCGAGGTGGATACGTATATAGACAGCGCGGCCATTACGTTCGGCACAGTACAAGGTCAGAGAAGGGGTAAATCCGTCTACGCCATGTTCCTGTTCCAGAGCATGTCCCACATGGTACTGAGACGTTGGTCCCATGGTCGCCTTTCGGGGCTGGCTGGGAGGCCCTCGTCGCCGCGGCAGGATTCACATCGAAGTTCTGGTCGCAACGTACCCCTGGAGGGCTCCCGCGCGAGAGCGCGACTTGGGAACAAGTGGTGAGGAAGCATCAGGCGGGGAGCCGCTGTTGCCGTCCACCCGGGGCCGGGGGCACAGCGGAGTGGCACTGCATGCTCCTTGGTAGAGAACTACCGTCAACCCGCGTGGCAAGGGTGGGCAGCTTTCCCAGGGATGCCCCTGCATCCTTGCCCCTTCGGCCCATCCTCGGCGACTCGCTGGCCAGCGGCATTGGTACCCTTTGAGGCCCCTGCATCGGTACCCTTTGAGGCTCCTCGGCGGGGGCGCCCGGAGGCCGCCCCGCGTGCCGCGTCGGGGCCACCCGCGGTGCCGTCCGGCGGGGGCGGCCGGAGGCCTGTTGGAGGCGCTCGGGGGCCAGCGAGTGCGGCACGAACGAAATGGGCACGGAGGAGGAGGAGGAGGAGGAGGAGGAGGAGGAGGAGGAGGAGGAGGAGGAGGGGTAGGAGGAGGAGGAGGAGGAGGAGGAGGAGGAGGAGGAGGGTAGGAGGAGGAGGAGGAGGAGGAGGAGGAGGAGGAAATGCCCAACAGCAGTTCCTGTTCATTTTGAGCAGGACTCGCTGTCCGCGCCGCCGCGGCCTGTGCCCATTCGAAACAAGCGGCCGCCTGCCCAACAGCGGCCGCTGTTGGTTTGGGGCAGCATTTCTTGTTGGGCATTGTACCCACTCTTTCCGTACCCATTTCGGGCGTCCACAGCTTCCGGAAGTCCTCCGTCTCCTCGTCCTGTGGCCCTCCGCTCCTGGCACGACCGATCTTTGGAGGCATGTGTGCAACGGCCGCCAGAGGTGAGTGAGTGCCCAGCGATTTCCGTCCGTACCCTCTCGCGTGACCGCTGCTCGTGGGGGACTCTTCGCGCGTAGAGGAGACGGGAACGTGTCAATCCGGAGCCAAGAGTGTCAGTGAAGATAGACCATTGCGCGGGGCTCTCACGACCTATTGTTCGCCCTCTCTGTGGCGCCCGCTGGCGTTGCGGCGCCGCCCGTGACGCACAGGGGATCCCTACCGGGTTATTGCCATGCTCCTTGTCGCGCTCCCGGAGCTGGCGTGACGAGGAGGAGGAAGAAGAAGGAGGAGAAGACGGAGGAGGCGGAGGAAGAGGGGGGGAAGGAGGGGGAGGAGGAGGAGGAGGAGGAGGAGGAGGAGGAGGAGGACAAGGAGGACCAGTGTAAACCCAAGAGGCATCAACGATGTGTGGATAAACCCTCCCTCCAAGCTTCCTCTTCATAGGCCCCTACAACGGTTCATTTTTACTGAGGCAACTGCCTCGTTGGAAGACTAATTTTTGAAGACCCTGAAGCATGTCAAAACATTGCTCTCGGGATTCCAACGCCACGGATCAACCTGACTGTTGCGTCTTGACGATCCTGAATCGTGCCAGAACGCTATTCCTGGCGCTTGAACACCGCGAATCAACATAACTCGAGCACCCTCATGAATCCTTCCAAAGCGCCATTTCTGGTACGCTGATCATGGGAATCCGTGAAACTCTTGCAAATGTTTAAGACGAGTGCGCGCAGCGCTAAGGCGGGAGCCTCATTTTGAAAACGACACCCTCAATCCGTGAAACTCTTGCAATTGGTAAGACGAGTGCACGCGGCGCTAAGGCGAGAGCCGCATTTTGAAAACAGCTCGCCCTCGATCCGTGAAACTCTTGCAACTGTTTAAGACGAATATGCGCGGCGCTCAGGCGAGAGCCACATTTTGAAAACGACTCGCCCTCGATCCGTGAAACTGTTGCCTTTTTTAACCTTCAGAGTCATAGATGGTGAAGTCTCAGGCGAAACGCCCGGACCGCCCCAAAAACTGGCCTCGGGGTGCGACAGGGAGAAGTTCCTCAGAAGGAGAAGGAATGGAGAAGGAGGAGGAGGAGGAGGAGGAGGAGGAGGAGGGAGGGGCAGCGCTCGCAGGGCGACGCCACGACTGCGGCGGGCGGGGAAGGCGCGGTCGAGCAGGGAGGGCCGTGCGGCGGCGGCCGGCCGGAGGGGCAAAGAGAGAAGGGGGGCTGCCCCGAGGCGGTGGTGCCACTGGTCTGCCAGGCCCTCCACTTCGAGCAGGCACCCGGGGAACGCACCTCTCTGCGCACCTGGGCGCTGCGTAATGGGGGATCATAAATGGGGGGGCGGCGAGCGTGGTCCGAAAAGGTACCCAAACGGTACCTAAACGAGCCACCTGGGGCTCTGGAGGGGCCCGAAAGGGGCACGAAAGGGGACCTTTTCTGACCCCCCCATTGAGCCACGCCCAACGCACGCCGCATTACCTTGCCTTTGTAGCCGGCTGGGACTCTGAGGTGGCCTGGCATTGGTGCCGGCGAGCAGGAAGGGGGGGGAGGGCGAGGTTCGAGGTGCTGGGTTCCAGAGAGCGTTTTGTCGTTTTTTTGTCCGTGGGAGCCGTCTGCGGGCCCTGTGGCCGTCGAAAGCGGATCCGGAGTGAAAGATTACACCTAGTGGACCCTGGGAGGGGTCCAGGGACCGATTTGGGGCGGATTGGCCTTCATCCCCCCTGCTTTGCATAGCTGCTCGGGGCCCATTCAGTTTAGACCCCATCGGCCGGCTCCAAAAAATTTGCTGCACCTCAGGGGAGTCGAGCACCATCGGAGAGATACGAAGAGCCACCGAGAGGTAAAAACAGGCGGACAATCAGGTAGACAGACAGACGGACGCGTTTGTGCAAGCGTGCACTCGTTCAGCCCGTGCCAGTAGGCTGCGGGCAAACGCGCCAGAGTCGTCAAAGATAATGGCCGACCGCCAGACTTCCCGATCAGGACAAGCTAGAGGTTGTGATAGCGACAGCTGCAAGCAAGCAACAGCAGAGGTAAGCCCGACCAAGCTGAACGCACGGCGTAATATTGATGAACGCGCTCCGCGTGAGCTCAACAAAATCATGCAACGTCATGGAATGCGACAAAACCAAGACACGGGCAAACTGTATCGGAGGTCGTCACGTAGTCAAAATCGGTTCGGCAGACTCGTCATCGAAAATTTTGCTTGCATCCACGAAAGAAGCATTATCAGTCGGTACAGATCACAATCCAGACAGAAAGGGAGGCACTTGTGTTCCTCCGACGTGCCAGCGAGGTCCAACCAGCGGTAACATCAACCACAGGCAATTATTGAAGAGATCGACGCGATACAGGCCTCGCCGACCGCAGGCCAGGCGAGTGCAGGGCAGGAAAAAGAAGCGCAGGTAGCTAGGGAAATATGGAGGCATGCATGCACACACACACACACACTCACACACACACACACACAAACACTACTTGGCATCGCAGCCACACGCGCGCGGCGTAGACCGTCGAGCAGGAGCGAGCGCGCGGCTGGGCCAGCTCACGCGACGGGGGGACCCGGGATCCGCCCACGGGAACTCGACCGGGTCCCTCGCGCTGGGACGCGAGGGGAAGAGGGAGAGGGGGGGAAGAGGGAGAGGGGGGGAAGAGGGAGAAACAATCGGTGGAATCCGGAGGTTTTGTCGGTAACCTCCGGAGGTTACCGATTCCCCCTCGGAGAGTGAGTCGGTAACCTCCGGAGGTTACCGATTCCCCCTCGGAGAGTGAGTCGGTAACTTCCGGAGGTTACCGATTCCCCCTCGACTACCCGAGGGAGAGGGGGAGGGGCGGCAGGTGGAGCTGGTGCCCCGTGCGCGGAATTCCGAGGGGCGCAGCGCGGAAGGGCAACGGCACACCGCTCGGGTGGAGCGACAGGCAGAGAGTCCGACCGGGGCCAGCGGCGGGGTGAGACGAGTCCGGGCACAGCCAGGGTTAAGGGGGGCCGCTTACAGTCGGGGCCCTGAAGGAGGAACCCTTTTCGTTGGGGAGGGGCTCCGTGTTCCTTAAGTGTTTCGCAGCTTGCCTTGGATTTTCCTCAGGTTTTCGATACGAAATCGAGGTTGAACTTGGGGAAAAAAGGGGCCCCGTTCCTTATTTAGGGTTCCTTAGGTCAACGCCCCGACTGTAGTGATGGGGCCCTCCAACCCAAAACGTCGGCCAGAGTCAGTCCACCAGGTCTGCCGCAGCCGGCGCTGCTCGCGCGACGGCAGCCGCGGTGAGTGGAAGGGGGGGGGGCGGAGGGGAGCGTCCTCCGGTGCACAGCCCTGGCGCGGGCCTCGTCAGCAGCTGTGAGGCCCGCGCCTCGTGAGTAATTCGCAGCCTCCTCCTGGGAAGCCTTCCCTTCCCTCTCCCTATATCCCCCCCGTCCGCGCGCCGCCGAGCCACGGGAGCGCCAGGGCGGTGGAGGGGCCCGCGCGCAGGGCGAGGCGGGGGGGGAGGAGAAGGGGAGGCGGGCGAGCCACGGCGCGGCGCGCAGGACACACGCCATGTGCACACACGCGCACACGCACCGGCGGGCAGAGCGAGAGGCAGAGAGGCAGAGAGGCAGGCAGGCAGGCAGAGACGGGCGGACAGACTCTGCGCTCGAAGCCTGTGCGCAGAGGAGCATCAGCGAGGGGGCCTGCAAGCCCGCGCCAGCGACTCGGACAGAGCAGACAGGCAGACCGGGAGGCAGATTGCGGCGGAGAGGGAGACGGAGGGTGAGAGAGAGGTCCAGGGAGGGAGAGGTGGAGGATAGCCAGAGTTACACAGAGAGATGCGAGGGTGGAAGGAGTGGCATCGCGAAGATGCACATATACTCAAGAGGCTTACACCATTCCGTCGGCGCCCGCAGAATGAGGGAAGTCTCCGGAGGTCGCCAGGTTCACGTAGAAGCTGCCGTGGGTACGTCTGGCGTGGGCCCGAGGGCCGAGGCATTCTTATGATCGGGCCGTCGCTTCCGTGCAGGGTGGCGTTCTGGCGGTACGGCGCACGCAAATTTGAAGTCACCTTCGGCTCATGCCGCCCCGGCGCCTGGGTCGTGAGCACGAGGCCTCCAGGAGTCTCTTGAGAATCCTCTCGGGGGTCTCTTCGAGGCATTTCTGGGTTTTTTTTTTTCGGGGGGGGGTCCTCGTGGTGGCTCTCGGGAAGCGCCCCGTGTGCCCCCAGGGCGGGCTCCGGGGCGCCTCTGGGTGGATGCTGGCCGCCTTAGGGGGCGACCTTCGGGGCGGAGGGCTCCGGGAGCCCCCGTGGCTTCCCCCCCTCGCGGGGGCTCCCCGGGGCTTCTCGGGGGGGGCCCTTCCGGGGAGCATCGGGGGCCCCCCTGGGCGGATCCTGGAGGCCCCTCGGGCCGTGCTGGACGCCCTCCGGGCGAGCAGGCCGAGCAGAGTCACGCAACAGCCGATGCGATCCAGGGATGCCGGCCTCTTGGCGGCCGACGGCGCGGGCCGACGACGACGACGCCAGCGGCGGCGGCGGCGACGACGAGGGCCGACGTTCGACCGCCGACCTGGGATGAAGAAGGACGCACGACGACGACGACGAACGACGACGACGACGACGACGACGACGACGACGACGACGACGACGACGACGACGACGACGACGACGACGACGACGACGACGACGACGAACGACGACGACGACGACGACGACGACTACGACGACTGTGACGACGGCGATGGCGACGACGACGACGACGACGACGACGACGACGACGACTACGACGACGACAGTGACGACGATGGCAACGGACGACGCACAATCGACGACGGACGACGGACGCCTTGCGATATTATGGCGGGTTCTATCAGGTGGCCTGCATCTTCTGAAGTGGTCTTCTTCCCTGCCACTATGAAGCACTCCTCGAGATAGCTAGAACTTGAGCGCGCGCGATGGCTCTACTACGAATATCTACCTGTATAGATCGGAGAAGTATTGAGATACGCGAGATAGCGATACAGGGTCCTCTTACTGGCATAGCAAGAGGCCGCTGCGCAGACGGCCCCCCACTGAGTTCATGAGAAGGAGGACAGAGGGGGGGGGGGGGGGCAACAGCAGCACGTTTTTCTTCTTCTCCGTACTTTGGGTTTCTTAATAAGCGTTGGGGGGTACCCCCCCGACGGGGGTCAACCTCGCCTCGTCGTCGCGCCGCGACGGGGGTCGGAGCGCCTTCGGCGATCGGTGGCTGCCCGCGACGGGGGTCGATGTGGGGCTGTCGGCGGGGGTGACGCCCCCCCGACGCTTATGAAGAAACTTGGAGTATGTTCATCGTGATTATCTTCTTGTTTCCCCTCCTCTCCTCCATCCTCTGCTTTTTCCCCCTCATACGATCCTCCCCGGCAGCTATAAACGTTGCCTCCCGATTCCCAATGGTGAGACATGAAATTGCAACATGTTCAGCAGCCCCCCAGGCGGGAAAGCCGTGCGGGGCGAAAACATATGCAATAAGCCGTGTGTCGTCCTTCGTTCTATGTAGAGCCGCGTTGTTCTTATGTGATCTGTGCCTCGAGAAGCAGATGAGAAAGATACATGAGGTGGGTCCGCGCTGGCCCAGATGCTTCAGGTTCTTCTAGATTTGTTCAGGGGCCCCCACTAATTGTCCAGACCCACTCCAATCCCACCTCATTTGCATCAACGCCCAATCTTGTACCATCAGAAGCTGGAAGATCCTTCCAGATGGTTGCTTTCTGGGTCGTGCGAACAAGGATGCGGTGTATCATCAGTGCCGATTGTGCAAGCGGGGATCGCCTGTGACCGCGCGGGCGATGCGACTGTGCGGGGTCGAGCTTCCACCATATAAGCATGTGCACGATCTGCTCGAGCACATTCCGCAATCATTCGCGTCTGAAGTTCTACGAGCTTGAAGCACGAATCTGTCTCTGCAGCTCTCAGGTGTCCGGGAACCACGCCGTGGGCCAGCACGTGCGCGATGCGGCGTGCTACGTGTGCTGGGCCTTCGCTCGCGCTTACGCCCCCGACATCCTCGAGCCCTTTGTTGGGGAGATCGCCAGGATCCGTTGTTTGGGGGGAGAATTAGCATCGAGCCGAAACGACGCGGAGGAGGACTAGGAAGGCCACGAGATGGACGATGACAATGTTTCTATCGACTACGACACGCTGATGGCTATCTAGATGGCAACAGCGCGTAGATCTGGAGGACGGAGGGAAACGGCAAGGAGGAAGAGGCAAGAGGAATAGAAACACGAGTAGGAAGAGGAAGATGGTCAGGACAATGAAGCGGAGGAAGAGCAGGAGCACGAATGAGCTGGGTACGAGAGCGAAGAATGTCGGAACCTGATACCCCTTCCTCCCAAACCTCTTGCCAGAGCGACAGCGGCCGCCAAAGCAAGCTTTCTACAGCGCGCTGATCCAGGTCGCCGGGGGCCGCACCCGTCGCCCGCGACGCGACGCGGCGAGCAAGGGAGGCTGCTGTTCTGTATCGCTTGCGTGAATCACCACGAGGCCTCCCGTCTTCGTTCTGGCGGGAGCTTCCTCCCCAGATCCCAGGAGGCTGGCTGAGTCTCTCTCATCGCCTCGCAGATGAACGAGGTCGCACGCTCATGCAAGCGCAAGCATGCCGCAGCGTTTGGTCTAGGCGTTTCTGCCCCGGTCTGTTTGTGTTGACCGTTTCTTCACGCGGTGTCTGTTGGCAGCCATGGGGGTCTGGGAGGCGAGGATCATATGATTTGAAGGATTTGGGGGTAAGAGCGCACTTAGTTGCAGGACTGAGGTTGCACTGAATAACGTCTGCGCCATTCGTCTGTAAGCTAGGCATCCCCAGCAGCTAGTGGCTTCTCGGTGGCCAGACCGCTGGACGGCGGTGGCACAGGCTACGTACTTACGACGGGAATTGTGTGTTAGCGCGTCGCTCGGCCAGTGCTGGCCCACCACGCCTCGGCGCGATACGCTATCCACGCCCCAGTCCCCGAGCGTCAACGTCCCGAGCCTTTCCCAGTCTACCGCCCCGCGGAGCGGAGCGACACGCTATCCTCTTGCACGGCACAGCGTGGCGCCAGGGCCGCCACCGCGACACGCGAAGCAAAAGCTCCCGACCGTGACCAACGACGCAGCGGGCGCACGTCGGCGCGCACCCCGCCTCTCCCTTCCTCACCGGCGGCCGCCGCTGCCTGCGCAGCGGCTCCCGTGGCGGCCGAAACGACAACGCCGCGGCGGCACCTGCCGCGCGGAAGGAGAGGTCCCCGTCCGCTCGTTCACAGCTCGGCCCGGCGCCAAGAGGTCTCCTCTCGGGCGAGGGGCGTGGCCTGATGATCCCCCGAGCAGCGCTTGCGCGTGGGAGTTAGTGCTCAGATTCGACGCAATTGAGCGACACAAAAAAAAGGGTCGTCTGCGCCGATATTGGCGCGCAAGCTGCCCGCGTAAGGTCGCGCGTGAGCGGCCTCGTCTCCAATGTGCCGTGCCGCGCGGGCGGGCCGCGCAAGCCGCCGCGCAAGGGCGCTATGCCATCTCGCGTACCGTCGGGCCGAGGTAGAAGATCGAGGTCGGTTCGGGGAGGGTGCCCTCGTGTTCTTCGTGTCTGTTGGATGTTCTTGTGCATCACTGGGGGGGGGACGGACCCTTGGAGGCTCTGTTTCTTCCGGCCGACGGAGGGCCTCATGCTCTTAAAGGGATGTGATTATGTCACCGAGCGCGCTCCACTCGCAGAGTGCCTACAGTCGGGGCCCTGAAGAAGGAGCCCTTTTAGTTGGGGAGGGGCTCCGCGTTCCGTAAGTGTTTCACAGCTTGCCTCAGGCTTTTCTTATGTCTTCGACAGGAAATCGAAGGTTAACTCATGGAAAAAAGGGGCCTCGTTCCTTATGTAGGGTTCCTTAGGTCAACGCCCCGACTGTACTCGCAAACGTCCGAGAAACACATGCTTGCCTCGATGCAGTGTATCGCAGCTCCCCCGCCGCGGATCCAGGCCATCTGCGAGTAGTCACTCTGCGAGTAGTGCAACGCGTTTGTCCATTCTGGCCTAGGCCCGACTGTAAGACCCCCTTCCCTGTCGTCGCTCAATTGGCATGGCACCTCGCACATGCCATATCGCGTAAGGTCGCTGTGTCATTTCCCGTGAGGCATATCGCGTATGTAATGTTGCATATGTCATCTCGCGCACGTCATCTCGCGTAAGCCGCTGCGTAAGCTCGCTGTATCATCTCGCGTAAGACCCCCTCTTTTTCGACGCTCCATTGGCATGAGGCAGGTGTGCAGGTTACGCATGAGTGCATCATTGCGTGAACGTGTTGCGAACCGTAGCCACCGAGGCTCGACTCTAGAAGTCGCAAGACACGTCCTAGAGCCAGGCGGCAAAATTGCGCAATCACAGCCGAGATGCCGCGCGCGAGGTGGTCCAGCCCGTTGCGCTGGAGACATCCTCGCAACTCTAGGCTCCGAGATGCCGTTCGGGATGAAGAGGAGGTGGAGGAGGAGGAGGAGGAGGAGGAGGAGGAGGAGGAGATGGAAGGGAGAGAGCTCTTTGGTATCCTCTCGAAGGATGTCCTCCTGGCCCAGGTCCGACTCTCAGGCCCCTTCCTTCTCGTCGCTCCACCGGCACGCGGTTCCGCGCTCTTTCCTCCTCCTCCTCCTCCTCCTCCTCCTCCTCCTCCTCCTCCTCCCTCCTCCTCCTCCTGCACTCCTCCTCCTCCTCCTCCTCCTCCTCCTCCTCCTCCTCCTCCTCCTCCTCCTCCTCCTCCCCCCCAGGATGCTCTTCTGGCCTGGGTCCGATTTTAAGGCCTCTGCCGCCCGAAGGGCGCTTCCTGGGCCTGGGCGCCTTTTGTGTGCGCTGGCTGGCGGCTCCGGGCTTCCCCGCCCAGAAGCCGCACCGCGTTGGTCAAGGAGTGTGCCCAGGAGGCTTCAGACCCTGGAGGGTCCTTTGTCCGAGGAGGGCGGCGGTGACACGGTCGGGAACGTTTGGACAGCGTCTTGCTCCACCGGCTCTGGCCCACCACGCTTCGGCGCGACACTACAGATTCCCTTTTTTCGTCGCGCCACCGGCATGCGGTTCCGCATTCTGCCACCCGAAGGGCGTCTCTTGGGCGTCTTGCCCTGTGCGCTGGCTGGCGGCTCCGGGCTTCTCTCGCCTGGTCACCGCCCGATGTGGCGCCTCTCATAGGCGCGCCTGGTGCTCTGGCCGTCGCCTCGTGGGCGCCTCGTGGCTTGCCTGCGTACCTCCAGGGTGCCCTGGGTTTCTTGGGTTTCGATGGTTTTGCTATGGAAGGCATGACGCTCCCACACCGAATACCAGTGGACTTCTGGGGGTCTCAGGGTTGGGCTTCCCGTGGAAGGGTTCTCGTGGTCGAGCTCCTGCTGTAACTGCCCAGAGATCCGACGCTCCAAAAAAATTGGAGCGGTGGAATTTTGGGCAGGGAGTTTGAGGAGGAGGAGGAGGAGGAGGAGGAGCAGGAGGAACAGGAGGAGGAGGAGGAGGAGGAGGAGGGAAGGAGCAGGAGGAGGAGGAGGAGGAGGAGGAGGAGGAGGAGGAGGAGGCGGAGCAGGAGGAGGAGCGGAGGAGGCGGAGAAGGAGGCGGAGGAGGAGGAGGCGGAGGAGGAGGGAAGGAAGGAAGGAGGAGGAGGAGGAGCAGGAGGAGGAGGAGTAGGAGGAGGAGGAGGAGGAGGAGGGAGGAGGGAGGAGGCGGAGGAGGAGGAGGAGGGGGAGGAGGCGGAGGCGGAGGAGGAGGAGGAGGAGGAGGAGGGGGAGGAGAAGGAGGAGGAGGAGGAGGAGGAGGAGGAGGAGGAGGAAGAGGTTCGGCCTCCTGGGGCCCTCGGCGGGCCTCGCGGGAGCGTCAAGAAACGACTCTGGGACGAGGAAGCAGGCCCCCCGGAAGTGGTCCAGGCCTCCAGGGCCCGCGCATCGCAAAAATCGGAGCGGCCAGATGTCTGGGTAGTTTCAGGAGGGGAAAAAACACACAGACACAATTAATCGTCGATTCCCCAGAAAATATGAGAAAATATTGGAAGTGGGGGGAAGACAAAAACCCAGAAAATATGGGGATAATATGGGGAATCCTTTTATTTGTGTGTATTTATTTGTGTGTCTCAGTTTCCCTTCATAGTTGGCCTTAGCGTTAAGTCGGGCACGTCTCTCTACAGGAGGAATAGTCAAAAGTAGTCAAAAAAATCGCCTGGGGACGGTTTTTGTTGCTATCTTTGACCGTTTTGAGGCATTGCTTGAGTATTTGTTATTTTTCGTCCACATTCCGCCTGTAGGGGGACATGCCCGACCTAAGCTTAGCTGCCCTGATATGCCCGTCTTGAAACGCAACACGTGCCGTGTACAAAACGTCCGTGTTGGCTCAGCGTGTTGGCCCACGTTTTGACGAGCGCATCGCGCCAGACCTGCGTAAGTATTTGGTCTGCGTGTCGAGCTCCGTGTCAACACATTACGGGTTACGTGTTGCGCATCGGGGCAGCCAAGTGTTTAGCTGGCACCACCTTTCTGCTTGCTCCACACACCCTGCCCCTCACAGATTGCACCACATGGCTTGCACCGCGTGGCTTCTGCCACACAGATTTTGCACCACACAGACTGCACCACGCAGCTTCCGCCGCACAGCTTGCACATCCACAGTCCACAAGCTCACAGTTTGGGATCCGCGCCGACAAACATTCTGATAACACACCGTCTTCCCGCATCGCAGCCGCCTCGGCGGATATCCAGAGGCCTCCGGGCGGGAGGGGGCGCATATGATGGCCGGTCGCCCCTGCGAGCTTCGGCGGTGGAGAGCGCGATTTGTCGCCGGATGTTCTCGCCTCCGCGTCCTCCCCGTCCTTCTCCTCCTCCCCTCCCACGCCGCATACGTCGTCTGCTTCGGCATGGCGCCGCCGCTGGGGGGCAAGGCGGGGCGGCCCAGAGGCGAGGCGGTGGGGCCCGCGCCCCCGCCCCATGCCCAGGCTGGTGGGCGGGGCCTCTGGACTTGGACCACCACCTCGGAGCTTGCCCCCTCGGTGCTGGCGCGATGGCTCTCTCTCTCTCTCTCTCTCTCTATCCCTCTCTCTCTATCCCGCCTGCAGCGGCGCCCCCCAGGGACGTCGAGACCCTTCCTCCTCCTTCTGCTCATCTTCATCCTGATCATCCTCTCTCCTCCACCCTCCTCTTCCTGCTCCGCCTCCTCCTCACCACCACCATCATCAGCATCAGCATCATCATTATCAAAATCATCATCATCAGCGTCATCATCGATCACTGGTGATGATTCTTTAATCCTGGTAATATCAATGCTCATCAGAATCATCATAATCATCATGAGCTCCTCATCATCATCATCGACAAGAACAGCATCATCAGCGTCATTTTCATCATCACCATCATCAGCAGCAGCATCATCATCATCGTCATCAGCATCAGCATCAGCATCGTCAACATCATCAACAACAACATCACCAGGGGCAGCATCATCGTCATCAGCATCATCAGCATCACCATCATCATCCTCACCCGTATCGTCATCATCATCATCATCTTCAAAGCATCATAGTATTTGTTATTTCCATAATCGGCATCGTCATGAGTATCGTCATCGCCATCGTCATCGTCGACACCATCAACAACATAATCAGAATCGCTGCCGTGGTCGCCACCGTTATTAGCAGCACCATCATCATCAGCAGCATCATCGTCACCATCACCACCATCCTCATCCACCCCCTCCTCGCTCCCCTCCCCGGAGCAGGTCGCCGTGTACGACCGGGACATCAATTGCCGCAGGGCCGCGGCGGCCGCGGTGCAGGACGCGCACGCGCACGCGCGCGGCGGACAGTCGCGGCGAGCTCACGTCCTCGAGGGAGGATGGAGGAGGCATGGGGGGAAGGGGAGGAGGAGGAAAAGGGGAGAGGGAGGGAGGAAGGAAGGAGGGAGAGGAGGAACGATGACGGGGGAGCAGGGGCTTGGGCGTTTTACCTTTTGGGGGGGGGGGGGGGGGGACTCCTGGCGGGCCCTCGTCGCCGCGGCTGGATCCGCACTCCGGGGCAGGAACAGGTTTGTTGTTGATCCCCCAGGAGGAGGAGGAGGAGGAGGAGGAGGAGGAGCAGGAGGGAGGAAGAAGGAGGAAGGAGGGAGGAGGGAGGAGGACGAGGACGAGAACGGGAGAGAAAAGGAGGGAGGGAGGAATGGCGGGGCAGGAGGCAGAGAACGAGGAGGAGGAGGAGGCGGAGAAGGAAGAGAGGAGGGATGAGGGAGAAACAGCAGGTAAGAGCGAGGAGGGAGGAAGAGGAGTGGAGGGAAGAGGAGGAGGAGGAGGAGGAGGAGGAGGAGTGGACGGAAGGAAGGAGAGGGGATGAGAGGAATGTGGAGGAGGAGGGAGGAGGAGGAGGAGGAGTAGGAGGAGGTGAAGAGAGGAGGGGGAGGAGGGGGGGAGAAGGAGGAGGAAGAGAAAGGATGAGGCGGGAGCAGCACATAGGAAGTTGGAGGAGGGGACAGAAGGAAGGAGAGCAGATGAGAGGGATGTGGAGGAGGAGGAGGAGGAGGAGGAGGAGGAGCAGGAGGCGGCGGAGGAAGAGGGAGGAGGAGGAGGAGAAGGAGGAGAAGGAGGAGGATGAAGGAGGAGGAGGCGTAGGAGAAGGAGGAGGACGAAGGAGGAGGAGGAGGAGGAGGAGGAGGAGGAGGGGGACAAGGAGGAGGAGGCGGCGGCGGAGCAGGGATGAGGCAGGAGCAGCACGTAAGATGTCGGAGGGAGGTGGGAGTGGAGCGGGAGGAGGAAGGCGGAGGTTGGAAGGCGCCAGGGGCGCCTTTGAAGGGTGCGGGCGGGCCCTGCCGGCAGCGAAACCGCCCACTGAATCCCTCGAAAGTTTCGGCGCCAATAGCTTTCGGGTGCCCTCCGGCCTCCGCCTCTCCGGAGGCCCCCAGAGGCTGCAAGGAGCCCAGAAACGTCCAGGAGCGAAGGTCGTAAGCCTTCTGGTTGCGCACAGACAGCCACCCCCAGCTAGTCCGGGCTGGCCTGAAACAAGCCCCCTTTGTCGCCAGGGGCGGCCTCAACATCTTGACGCCGCCTGCGGCAGTGCCCCTGGGGCGCTCCAAGCGCCAGGGTTGAAGCGTTGAGACCGCCCCAGAATACTCGGAGGGCCTGTTGAGGCCAGCAGGGACTACGAGGGGGGGGCTGCCTGTGCGCAACCGAAGCTAGCTCTAAGTCTACCAAGCTGAGATTATCCTCCTCCTCCTCCTCCTCCTCCCCCATCCTCTACCTCCCTCCTCCCGTCCTCCTTCTCCCTCAGCCTATGCTCCTCACTCTGGACACGATTTCGAGAAGTGCCTCGAGGCAGGGCCACGCACAGCAGCACGTGGTGTAGCCACGAATCGTGCCACGTGCTGGCGATGTGTTCCGGTGTGACTTCTCGGGAGCAGGCCGAACCTGGCTTGTGGTTGTGCCGCAAAGGCCCGCAATCCGCGCCTCGGCGTTCAGGCCAGCTGGCGGCCAGGGACGGCCAGGGACGGGGCCCCGTTGAGCGGGGGTTGGCTTCATCACGAAGCAGCAGCGGCAGCAGCGACGAGCTTGCTGGACGGTTTTCTTCCGGCGTGAGCGCTGGCCCTCGGAGACGTCGGCAGGCACGGGGCAGTGGTCGGCCTGAAGCAGTGTTTGGGCGATTTCGTCGGCCGGTTTCCGTTTCGACTTCGTTCTGCGGCGAGGGCGGATTCGAGACAAAACGAGGGAAAGAAGACATGACGAGAACGAAACACCTTGTTTGGGTAGATCCCTGGCACGGGGAGGCCTGCCGCCCATCCACGGGCTGGCCCTGGCAAGGGCAGCCGGAGCGGCGGGCGCTCTCGAGGCGCAGCAGGGCGAGCTCGAGGCGCTACCGCAGCCTGAGTACAGGAGGAGCTCGACGGCAAGAAACCGCCCACGAGGAAGCGAACTTTGAAACCCCAGGACGTCCATGGATTGCGGTGTGGGAGCATCACGCTTTCCACAGCACAGGCATCGAAGCCCAGGCACCCTGGAGGCAGGCAGAGTGCTTCTTGGCATGGGCTTTCATTGTAAAGACTTCGTCTACGTCCGGCCAGCCGCTTACCCTCACAAGGTCTCGTCTCAAGATGCTAAGATATCCACACCTTGTGATTCTATCCCCATCGCGCTGAGCGCGTGACCCTAACAGTTACGCACCACCTTCTGGAGGCCCGCGGGTGTGGGGGCGCGAACCTCGACGTCGTGAGCCCGCTCGGTGAGCCCCCCCCCACGGAGGCCCGCGGGCCGGATTCCCGTCGCCCCCCGGGACCTCGTGAGAGGTCGGTCCCACGTCCTTGCGGAGACCCCGGTTGTCTTTGGATGTCCCGGGCGAGGGAGGCCGAGCTGATCCCCAGTAGCAGGGGCGCGGACTGGGTTGCACTTGCACTTCTTCTTATGTTTCTTTTTTCGATGATTACTATTATTCGCGGTGTTATTATCATGTTGATTATTTTTAGCCTTATGTGTGCCTTTCGTCTTTCTTATAACTATATCTTCCATGTACTACATATAGTGTCATTCGCATGAGTCGTATTGTTAGTTGTATGAGTGCTCGAATTAGTTAATACTTTATTCGAACGAGCAATAGTGCTAATGTTGGTAATTAGCTATTGCTGTGGTGGTACTTGTCTTGCTGTTATTCGTATGGTTCGTTGCCTCCGCCGTCTTCTTCGTTTCATGTTCAGGAGTATTAGTGGTCAGCGTCTTCTTCGGATTCGTAGCATGATTCGTCTTCGTCTTCTTCGTCCTATCTCCCCAATCAAACTTGCCTAATTAAGCGGTCCCTACTTGAATACAGGTTGGTGCCTCGGGTGGCTACTTTGCTGGTTCGGGGCCCTGCCCGGTGAAGTGCTACGCGAACCAGAGCACGCAGTGCCCAGGCGGCTCGGACCAGTGCGCGGGCAACCAGTGCTGCCCGGGAATCGCGCGGAGCGGCGGCAAGAACTTCCCGTGCCCATCCGCGACCAGCGTCGAGGCCTCGAACTGCGGCATCAGCACGAAGGCCTAGTACTGCGCGGCGTCCTCGGCGCTGCAGAGCGACTCGGCCAGGAGCATCCTGGCGGTGCCGCCGTCCCTTCTGTCTGGGGCAGCGCCGGCGCCCGGCTCGGCGGGGCCGTACCCGGTGAAGTGCTACGCGAACCAGAGCACGCAGTGCCCAGGCAGCTCGAACCAGTGCGCGGGCAACCAGTGCTGCCTGGGAATCGCGTGGAGCGGCGGCAAGACTTTCCCGTGCCCATCCGCGACCAGCGTCGAGGCCTCGAACTGCGGCATCAGCACGAAGGTCTGGTACTGCGCGCGCTAGGGGCGCAAAAGCCGAAGGCATCCCCAGCTTTGCATATCCGCCCGGGGCGCTCTGCGTTCAACCCATGGACGTCTGCAGGCGCGGTTGTGACTCTAGGCTATTTATCCCCACCCGATGCTCTCCTCGTCCTGGATTCGTCTTCCTTCTCTTCCTCCTCCCGCTCTCGCACACTTTTTTTCCCACCCCTCCCCCCTAGCACGCCCTGTACAGCAAAAGGGTCGAGCCCGATACCACGACGGGCGCGCTGTGCGTCGCGTCCGCGCCTGGATTCAAATTTTCGCCGAGTCCTTCCAGCAATCGCATTTGGTGTGTGACGATCAGAGTGCCGCACGCCGCGCGGCGTATAGGCTGCGTGATGTGCGGTGCGTCCCTGCGCAGGATTCTGCAGCGCACTAGCCATCCGTTGAAAAGAGACCCCACCCCCAAAAAAAGTCCAGGCCTCCCAGATGGGGTCGACGTGGACGGGGTCGGAGGATCTCGCCGCACCGCAGAGGCGCTAGCTGTGCGGCTCGATGTGGAGCCCCAGTGTCTCCACGCCGACGGCGCCGATGCAGCGGCGATGTCGCCGATGCAGCGGCGATGTCGCGCGAGCCTCCGACCCCAGCTGCTCGGATCCCATCTGGGACGTCGCAAGTGGAGAAGGGGGCTCCGCTGCCGCGCGCTCGCTCTCGGCGACCAGGGGGCGCGCTGGTGCGCCTCGCGTGGTCGCTCGCCCGTGTCCTGCGGGCATGCCGCGCCCTCGAGGGCGCCCGGTGGAGACAGCGGCGCTTGGCCTTCGGGGGCGGGGCCTCGTCGCCACGGCTGGGCACCGCTCGGAAATTGGTGCGTTGGGCATCGGGAACCGACTTGGAGCTGACGTCGTCTCCATTCGCCCTGCTCCGATGCCCGGCGCTCGGGGGCGCTGTCCACAGCTGAGAGCGACCAGCTGCTACGAGGCTTCGTCGGCGGAGTGGGCCGACCTGGCGGGGCGGCAGGGAGGGGGCCGCGCAGCGGCGCCGATGGTATGGCCGCTATAACGCACATCATCCCCGTTTCCGCGTACAGTCTTGGTCATGGTTCACGTGTTCTTCCCATCTACAATCAGACCGCTCTCGGCCGGGCGCTCGAGCGCGCGCGTGTCCTGCCCCGTGCGCGTTTCGGTAGCAACTCATGAGAGCTTGCGTCGTCGGGATTCTGTTCGTAGAGTAGTGCATCAGCGTGCGCTGGCGTCCGGGAACCGACGAGAAAGCGCCGACCGAGCTTCGAGTAGCGTCGATCCAGCCTCGACTAGCGTCGGTTAGTGCCGATTCGCAAGAGCTGGCAAGATGGCGTGGGAGGTCCCAATTCAGAGCCCCGAGTCATCAGGGGTAACTCGGGTTAGGGTTAATTCGGGTTCGTTTTTCGGGAATCCGAACCCGAGTCACCCTGGGCCCGAGTTACCCCGGATAATTCGGGCGTCCAGAGCCCCACATCATCAGGGGTAACTCAAGTCAGGGCTAACTCGGGTTCCTTTTTCGGGAATCCAAACCCGAGTTACCCCGGACCCGAGTCACCCCGGATAACTCGGGCGCCCAACCAATGGAGGCCCCCATGAGTGGTCACAGGAGCGTGCACGCGCGCCCCTGCGCACGTGTGCGCGCAGACGCGCGGCCGCTCTGGACTGTGCCTCCCAGGAGAACGTGGGCCGCCAGGGCACCTTCCCGAACGGGATCGAGGCAGGAGCGCCAGCCGCCGCTGGGAAGCCAGGAGGGAAAAAAACACACAGACACAATTACTCGTCGATTCCCAAGAGAGTATGGGAAAATATGGGCAGCAGGGGGGGAGACAGAAACCCAGAAAATATAGGAAAAGATGGGGAATCCTTTTACTTGTGTGTATCTATCTGTGTGCCCCAGGGCCCCTTCAGGAAGGCGAGGGAGGGCAGGGTTCCGGGGCACCGCTGAGGGGCGGGGGCAGCAGGGAGGAGGGCGAGCTCGAAAGTTTTCGGAAGATTTCGGGTGGCTTCTGAATGTTTCGAAGCCTGGGGTGGTCTCCCTCGCCGGCGCGTCGTCGAGGGCGTTCACTGGGTGCCCGACTCGTCCCGAACAGCCGCCGGAGAGCCAAGTTGTGGCCCGAAGTCCACGGGGCAACGTCAGGGGGGATTGGCTCCGGAGGGTGCGGGGCATCGACCCCCAAGCGCCCACTGATTGCCGAGGAGGCCCCGATAGCCCCCGCCCGGGCTCAGAGGTGTGCGGTTTCGCCATTGCCGGGCCCATCGCCGACCTATCGGTGATGCCGTGTAAGTTCCAAGTCGACCTTTCGCCCCCTGAGCTGGTGCCTTTCTAACGTTTCGGGGGTGGACAGGACCCCCAACAGTGACACGTCGATTAGTGAATTGTCCGTTTTCGGTTCTCGAGAGGGCGCCGTGGCCGTTATTTTCCAGGCTTGCGCCCGTCAGGTTTGGGCCTCAGGTCGTTTTCACTAAACCACGTTTTACTAAAGGGGGGTCTGTCCATCCCCGAACGTTGCCCCTCACCAGCGGGAGGGAGGGGGGCGGGGGACGGGGGGGACGGGGGGGCGAGGGCGAGGGCGAGGCGGGGGAGCGAGGGCAAGCTGGATGCACTCGCACGACCTCTGACATCCGACCCCTCCCACTCATGCCTTCCAACTGCGCTGACGGCTCCTCCATCCGCCGACGGGTGACATAGCAGACCTGGAGCACCCGAAACGACCCCATATCGTGCCACGCGCACGCTGAAAAGTGCAGTTGTGCACATTGGGGGAAAAGACGGCCGATGCGCAGGAGGAAGAGGAGGATGAAGGAGGAGGCCGAGGAGGAACAGCGGCAGCAGGAGCAGAAGGAGCAGGAGAAACAGGAGGACCACCTTGGCTCGTTACGGTTCAAAGTAGGATGTTTGACCGATGAGTTCTCCCTCCTTCCATCTTCGTGTCTGGCAGGCGTATACTCTGTGCCCTTTCGGGCTGGCATCTTTGCCCTGACCTCCATCTCCATGTTTGTTCCGCTGCGCCCGTTCGACATACAGTCGGGCCGCTGAAGAAGGAACCCTTTTCGTTTGGGAGGGGCTCCGTGTTCCTTAATTGTTTTACAGCGCTCCTCGGGTTTTCCCCAGGTGTTCCATGGAACATCGGAGTTTAACTTATGGGAAAAAGGGGGCTCGTTCCTTATTTATCGTTCCTTAGGTCAACGCCCCGACTGTAATGAGTTGGCCGCCAGGCCTGAGTCGGCATCTGCACGCGAATATCTTTGCGCCCCACCGAACGCTACAGCACACCTGGCTTGAGTTCGCGCAGCGTCCAAATGCGGGAGGACCATCGGAAGGCGGGGGAGAGGAAAGGAAGGGGGGGCGTGAACGACGAGGAAGCACTCGTTCCAGAAACGTGGGGCGCGCTGGGGCCAGAGCACCATTCGGAACGACAGGCGCAAAGTTCTGACCCTGATTGAACGCAACAGACTACGAACAACGATTGACTTCCTGCGTGCGAGAACATACACGGAGAGGGCGGGATATGTCCAAAACGTAGTCGGGAGAGAGAGAGAGGAGGAGGAGGAGGAGGAGGAGGAGGAGGAGGAGGAGGAGGAGGAGGAGGAGGGTTCCTACACCACACGGGCATGCCGCCTACTTTGCAATAGTTTGTCCATCTTTGCGCTAAGTCGTTTTTTGCTGCACCATCTCAACGCTCCAGCTCAGATTCTGAACCTTGCCCAACTGCAAACAAAGAGGAGGAGGAGGAGACGGAGGAGGAGGAGGAGACGGAGGAGGAGGAGGGGGAGTAGGAGGAGAGTATACGACGATAATGAGGATCAGGACCGAGGAAGGGGAGGAAGAGGGAGAAGGGACAATGAGCGAGGAAGAAGAGGGAGCAGGGGCAGCGTGAGGATGGAACAGCCGCAGTATGAGGAGGAGCATGAGGAGGAGCAGGAGGAGGAGGAGGCGGAGGAGGAGGAGGCGGAAGATGAGGAGGAGGAGGAGGAGGAGGAGGAAGATGAGGAGGAGGAGGAGGAGCCGAAGAAGAGGAGCAGGCGGAGCGGACCCAAGACCAGGACGCAGCACGCAGGAGGCAGGCACGGGGCGAGCAAGAGGCGGGCGGGCGGCGCCAGGTGGTCACGATCGCCGACTACTGGACGCTCTCCGCGCGCCGCCAGGCGTATGCCGCCGCGGCCGCCCGCCCGCCTCCGCCGAGGGCCCCCCCTCCCCGAGAGGCCTGCGGCCGAGGGCGCCGCGGGCGGCCGGCGCCGCGCCCGAGCGGCGCAGGGCCGCGGAGGGCTGCGCCGCTCGGCCGCTGCGGTCTGGCGCCCGCCGCGCCGCGGCCGCCGCGGCGCACGGTGCAACAGGGCCTTGGCATCGCTCGGACGTGTGCATTGTTCCTTCGGCGAGGACCATCGGGGAGCATCCTTGATCAACTGGCGAAAAAACCACGCACGAAACCGACAAAAAACACAGGGGATGGACGTCCGAGCGATGTCCAGAAGACGCCCGTGGAGGCGCCCCCGCCCCCTCCCGAGCCCCCTTCGGCGAGCGAGGGTGCCCCAGACCGCCCGTGCAGGGCTCCTGCCTTCCCCACGGCCCCCCATCAAAGGCATAAAAAAACGCCCCCCTACCCTGGCTTACGAGGCGCTGTGCGCTGAAACTCCCGTGGGCTGGCGGGGTCGACCCTGCGTGGTGTGCCGCGCCCTGGGGGCTCTAGGCTCTGGGGGGTCCCAGGAGGTTCACGGACCACGCACTTGTAACCCAGGGTAGGGCCGTTGTTTCATCCCTCAACCCCATGACGCCCGTGGAGGCGCCCCCGCCCCCTCCCGAGCCCCCTTCGGCGAGCGAGGGTGCCCCAGACCGCCCGTGCAGTGCTCCTGCCTTCCCCCCGCGGCCCCTCCAGGAGTTCCTGACAGGGTCCTCGTGGCGAAGGCAGGTCTTTTTTAAGCCGAATATAGAGACTGGCGAAGTCGCCGGGAGTTGCCCGGGCATCTCACCAGATCAGGCGAAACCAGTGCCCCGAAAGCTCGATTCCGATTCCGATTCCCTGGGAGCCTCCTCCGCCCCTTTCTGCGCCAGGGCCTCTCGGCCTCCCCCACGGAGTCGGACGCTCCTTCCGCCGCCCCCCCGTCGTCGCTCGGGCGCCGCGCGGGGGATCGACCCCCCGATCGCCGATTCATCACCGCTGGGGGCCTGGCGGCCCGCCCCGCGCCCAGGAGCGCGCGGAAAATGGCTGTCGGGGGCCACTCGCCGGCCCGTCGGCCATGCATCGCCGAGTCCAGCTCGGTGCTCCCCCCCGGAGCGGGTCCCCCCTTTCCCCCCTTGACGCTGCCCCCCAGGCATTCTCCCCATTCCCTCCCCCCCCCCTCCCCCTCGCCCCTCCTTTCACGCTTGCTCCTGGTATGTACATATATAATTATATATATAATTATTTATATATAATTATATATATATATATATATCCATGAGGGGGCACGACTTCTCTCCTGCCAGGTCCCACGCTGCAGGTGTCGGGTGTGTTGGTGGTGCTGTTGCTCCAGGCCTCCCCGACCGGGTCCAAGTAATTAGATGGGGTCGGAGGATCGCGACGCATCGCCGATGCATCGGCGATGCGGCTCGATGTGAAGACCGATATTCTCCACGCCGACGTCGCCGACGCATCGGCGACGCTACCGGTCGCCGATTTGTCGTCGATGCGGCACGATCCTCTGACCTCGTCTACTCCAACTCCATGTTGGAGGCCTCTACGGTGGGGGCATTGGTGAAGGAATGTGCCCAGGAGGATTCAGACCATGGGCGGCGACGACATCCGTGGCCAATCCACGAGTGGAGCTCCGCTGGCTTCCAGACCCTGGACTCCTTACCCAGTGGTTCCTCATCCAATGCCTTCAGTGTTTCCTGGACGGGGGTGTGGCGGCCCGTCTCGTATGCCAGGGCCACCCGGGTGCGCGTCGACTGGCGGGGTGGTGGCGACCCGCCGAGAGCGCTACGGCCACCTGCGTGAATGCCTGCTGTGCATGCAGGTCTTCGGACGCGGAGGGACAGAGCATGCCCTCACCGTAGTCGCTGAGATCACAAGCCCCTCGCCCCTTCTGCCAGGGCGTCCATGGGGGGGGGGCCCGAGCCCACGACGCCCAACCGCCCGCGCCGCTGCTCTGGCGGCCCGCCTTCGGCGGCGGGCCCGGCGGACCTGGAGGTCGCACCCCGCCTCGCGGCGCTCGGCGAGGAGAGGTACAGGCCCCCCCCCGCTGCCGCCGCCGCCGCTTTCTCCTCCTCCTCCTCCTACTCCTCCTCCTCCTCCTCCTCCTCCTCCTCCTCCTCCTCCTCCTCTTCCTCCTCCTCCTCCTCCTCCTCCTCCTCCTCCTCCTCCTCCTCCTCCTCCTCCTCCTCCTCCTGCAGCGACCCTGGCGAGCGAGGGCGTCGAAGGAGGAGCGGCGTCGCCAACGGTGGGCATCGCGCAGGCAGGCGGCGCCGCGGTGGCAAGAACCAGCGCTGCCAGCGCTGCGAGGAGTGGGCGCCTCGTCCCAACGCTGCAGTCGGGATCCGTTCAGGGCGAGCTCGGGGCTGTCCCTCTGCGTCGCGGATCGGCTGCTCGCCGAGGGGCGAAACTCACTGCGACACCATGAGATAGGAAAGAGAGATGCTTCGCTGGGCTCGCTCGACGATCGGGCCACTCAGAGGCGCTGGAGCGCCCGTGCAACCGCCTGAACCTCGAGAGCCGAAAGAGGGGGCAGGCCTTCTCGGAAGGCAGCGGGGATTCTCAGACGCCCGCCGCGCGGCGTCTCGGAAGGCCAGAGGCCTGCCGAGCCTTCGGGGAAGGCCCGCCCTCATTTGCCTTCCGCCTTCCGCCTGGGCGCTCCCTCGGAGTGGTCGGACGGGGCCAGGACGAGGGTAAATCCGTTCCAGAGCGTTACGAAGCGCTCTCGGAGCGTTCCGCGCTCCGGAACGCTCCGAGAAGGCCGTGGCGCCGGAGACATCCTCCAGTACCGCCGGATATCGGAGATTCTCGGTGCGTCCTCACCCGACGTTATCTTCGTCCTGGCTTCTTCTCAAGTGAGCGACGCGAAGAAACGGGGTCGTTTGCGCCGACATGGGCGAGTAAGCTGCCTGCGTAAGGTCGCGCGTAAGCGCCCGCGTCTCCAATGCAGCGTGCCGCGCTGGCGGCCCGCACGAGCTGCGGCGTGAAGTCGCTGCGCCATCTCGCGCAAGACCCGTGTTTGATCGTCGCTCGAGTGGAGCCGCGGCAGCCGGACCCGCTGCGCGGCGAGGTGCTGCGGAGGAGGTTCAGGAGGAAAGGAAACACACAGACACAATGAATCGTCGATTGCCAGGAAAAGATGGGAAACTATGGGAAGTGTGTGTGTGGGGGGAGACACAGACCCAGAAAATGTGGGAAAATGTTGAGAATCCTTGTAGTTGTGTGCACTTATTCGTGTGTCCCAGGGCCCCTTCAGAGGTCCGCGGCGTGCCGGCAGGCGGTGCGGTGCGGCGGGGCCGCGCGGCGGCCCTCGGGCGGTCCACCGCGGCGCGGCGCCCCAAGGCGAGGGGCGTGCCCACTGCGGCCGGCCCCGCCTAGGCAGTCGGGCAGGAACGCTCCAGGACGGCGCGCGGAGGCAGCCGGAGGAGCAGGCCCCAGGGCAGCCCGAGGCGGAGGAGGAGGAGGAGGAGGAGGAGGAGGAGGAGGAGGATGAGGAGGGGGAGGGGGAGGAGGAGGAGAGGGGGAGGAGGAGGAGGGGGGAGGAGGAGGAGGGGGAGGAGGAGGTAGGCGGGGGGGATGAGTAGGAGGGAGGGAGAGGAGGGGGAAGGAGGAGGAGGTTAGGAGGAGAGGAGGAGGATGGGAGGAGGAGTATGAGGAGGAGAGGGGGGTGAGATGAGGAGGAGAGTAGGAGTGAGGAGTAGGAGGAGGAGCAGGAGGAGGTAGGATAAAGAGGAGAGGAGGAGTGAGGAGAGGAGGAGGAGGAGGAGGAGGGAGGAGGATGAGGAGGAGGAGGGAGGAGGGAGGAGGGAGGATGGAGGAGGAGGAGAGGAGGAGAGGGGAGGAGGAGGAGGAGCAAGGAGGAGTAGGAGAAGGAGGAAGGAGGAGGAGGAGGAGGAGGAGGAGGAGTGGGGGATACCCGAGAGCCCCCTCCGGGGCCGGGCACAATCCGTCGCTGCTCCGCGGCGGCACGAGGTGCCCGCGGCAGGCTGTGGGGCCTCCGCGCCCAGCGGCCGCCCTGCCCTCGGCCGCCCGCCCCTCCGGTTTCCAGTCGAGCAGGTGGTGGAGAGGCCTCCTCCACAAAAACCGGGCCAGACGAAAGGGAAGGATTGGATTG